CGCATTTTCATTATCCACTTGTCAGTTGAGGGACACTTAGGTTGCTTCCATCTCTTAGCTGTTGTGAAAAGAGCAGGAACAAACATGGATGTACAAGCATCCTGGAACTCACTATGTAGACTAGGCTGGCCTTGAACTCACAAAGATCTGCCTGCCTCTGCCTCCCGAGTGCTGGGACTAAAGGCATGCGCTACAAGGTTTTTCTATTTTAAAGTAAAATCTATACCTTGTACCTGAATTAACTGAGGACCTAGTGGGGGAGTTTGTCATAAGTACACAATCCGGCTAGAAAGATGGCTCAGTGGTTAAGATTACATGCTGCTTTTCCAGAGGACCCGAGTTCAATTCCTAGCAACTAAATCAGGAGGCTTGACCTGTAACTCCAGCATTGCACAAACCTACTCATGGATACACACATATGCACATGATTTAAAAAAATTTTTAAATGATGACTAAACAGAGCTCTTGTGACCTGGCTCCTGTCCCCCACTTTACTCCTATCCGGTGCTTTCCCTTGAACTCAGGTGGCACAGAGGCAGACTAACCAAGTCTGTACTTGACAGCTGTGTACTGGGGATGGGAGTACCAGACACCCTCTTTGTGCCCACCCCATCCTGTTGAGCAGCTCTGCTGGAGCCTTCACTCCGTAGACTCCTCTTCTTGCTCCTTGACAAGGGGGGAAGTGTCTGTCTCCATGATCCTCAGGAATCACTTCCCCCCATGAAATTCTGGCATTAGATCTTGGTTTTTTTGGTTTTTGTTTTTGTTTTTATGTGTATATGTGTATTGTCTGCATGTAGGTAAGTGCACCAGTGTCATGAAATATGAAAAGGACAGAAAGAGACTGTCAGATCCCCTGGAACTGGAGTTACGGACAGTTGTTAGCTGCCTTGTGGGTGCTGGGATTTGAACCCTGGTCTTCTGCAAGAACAGTCAGTGTTCTTAACTGCTGAACCATCTCTTCAGCCCCTTAAAAATTTTTTTTAAGTGGGTCTGGAGAGGTGGCTCCATGGTTAAGAATACTGGCTGCTCTTGGAGAGGACTTGGGTTTGAGTCCCAGCACCCACAAGGATTGTAACAGCTATCTGTAACTTCAGTTCCAGGGGATCTGACACCTTCTTCTGATCTCCTTGGGCATGCATGACACAGGTGCACTTACGTATATGCAGTCAATACACTCATACATAAAAATTTTTTAAGTAAATAAAAATTTTAAGGTACATAATCACTCATGTTAGCCTCTGCTATTCTCTACACAGTTATTGATAGAGCATTTGATAAATGTCATTTTTTTTGAGACAGGGTCTCCCTGTAGCCCCAGCTGTCCTGGAACTCACTATGTAAACCAGGTTGGCCTTGAACTCAGAAATCCGCCTGCCTCTGCCACCTGAGTGCTGGGATTAAAGGAGTGTGCCACCATGCCCAGCTGATAAATGTCATTTTTAAAAAAATATTTTCATCCCTCTTAGATTTGCTAAGTAGACACTCCATAGTAAGGATGTCAAGTATATCAGTATGAACCTTGTGTCACTGTGATTCAGTGTGTTATAATTGTCTACTGGCATCATTAGTTGTCCCTGACCTGGTCAGTGGGAGTCCCTAACTCACTACTATCTCTTTGCCTCCTGTCAGGACACCAGCCATGCCCTTTGCCTCTTATGGCCTCCACCACACCAGCCTCCTGAAGCGACACATCTCTCACCAGACCTCTGTGAATGCAGACCCTGCCTCCCATGAGATTTGGCGGTCAGAAACCCTCCTCCAGGTAAGTGCAAAGGAGGCTGTTCTCTGCTTGTTTCAAAACTGCTTAGCAACCCTCTATCCTGTGGGGCAGAGTCACTACGACATCTTGTTAGCCTTAGGCTGGATCTAAATGGCATTTTCTTGCTGTGGCATTTAGAAAACGGAGAGTGATGCCAACCTATATGTCATTGACCATGTTTTCTCTCCCAGGCTCCCTTGTCCACAGTTTTGTTTTTTCTCACGAGGATATATTTATTCAGTCTTTTAGTGCATTGCTTGCATGGGTACATTTAACATGCATGTAGGGAAAACATTCATGCACATAAAATAAGGGGCTAGTGAGATGGCTCAGCGGTTGAGAACACTGACTGTTCTTGTAGAGGACCTGAGTTCGAATCTCAGCACCCACATGGCAGCTAACAACTGGCTATAACTCCAGTTCCAGGGAATCTGACAGCCTCTTCTGTCCTCTATGGGCATTACACGGCATGGGTGCACTTACTTACATGCAGGCATAATACTCATGCACACAAAATAAAAGTAATTGATAAAATATAAAAAAAAATAAATAAATAAAAAGTGTTGGCCTGGAGAGATAGCTCAGCAGTTAAGAGCTCTAGTTGCTCTTGCAGAGGACCCAGGTTCAATCCCTAGCACCAACATGGAGACTAACAACCATCTGTAAGTCCAGTTCCAGGGGATCCAATGTCCTCTTCTGATCTCAGTGGGCACTGCACAACATGGATGCACTCATATACATGCAGGCATAACACACATAAAATAAAAATAAATAAAAATTTAAAAAGTGTCTCTTGCACAAAAACTTTGATTTTGATTTGCATGGGGCTTGCAGTAAGTTTTTTTTTTGGCCTTTTTGAGACAGGGTCTCCCTGTAGCCCTAGCTGGCCTAGATTCACTATGGAGACCATGCTGGCCTTGAACTCACAGAGATCTGCCTGCCTCTGCCTCCTGAGTGCTGGGATTAAAGGTGTGCACCACCACGCCCAGCCAATTTTATTTTATTTTATTTTTTTTGGTGCATGTCATTTTAAAGAAATCATGGCCAAAGCCCATGTCATGAAGCCTTCCCCCTGAGTGTTACAGTTTTCACTCTTTTTTTAAAAAATATTTTATTTATTATTTTTATATATATGAGTGTATTGCCTGCATGTATGTGAGTGCACCCATGTTGTGCAATGCTGTGGAGGTCAGAAGAGGGCTTCGGATTCCCCTGGAACTGGAGTTAAGGATAATTTGTAGCCACCATGTTGGTGCTGGGAATTGAATCCGGGTCCTCAATCAGTGCTCTTAATCACTGAGCTATCTCTCCAGACCCTTCAGTTTTCACTCTTAATTTAGGTCACTTCCATTTCTTTATTCTTTTTTTTTTTTGTTTTTTTGAGGCAGGGTCTTTCTGTAGCCCGAGCTGGCCTGGAACTTACTATGTAGACCAGGCTGGCCTTTAACTCACAGAGCTCTGCCTGCCTCTGCCTCTTGAGTGCTGGGATTAAAGGCATGTGCCACCGCACTGGGTTTTTTTCACTAATTCTTACACATGATACTAAATGTTCTAGCTTCATTCTTTGGCATATGGGTTTCCTGTTTTCCGGCTTTTTTGTTGGAAAGACTTCCTTTACCATTAAATGGTTGTAGCACCCTGTTGACAATTTGACCACCTAGTGTTTTCTTGCAGGTTTTTGTTGAAATGTGGCTTCATCATTATTCCTTGGAGATGTACCAAAAAATGCAATCCCCACATGCCAAGGTATGTTTCCTTGGTTCTTCTGTCTCCTTTCTCACACCCTGGCTAGCCTGCTGTCTCTTGTCCTCAGCCTGAGTCCTTGTCCAGCTTGGATGGTGGGAAGCAAAATCCATTGTCAGCCCCTCACTTGGTTACCAAACATAAGAGGTGGGCCTTTGAGCCCTGAGATCTGTCCTTTTTGAGGCCCCCCCATGCAGGTCCAGAGCCTCTTCCCTGCCAGCAGAAATGACTCAGATATGGTGCTTTTGTTCTGGGGCAGGAGAACTGTAGTACCTCTGTGATTCATGTGCAGTTTCTCTACTGCTGTCAGCAGTGCCTTGGTACTCTGAGGTGGTTCTGAGCAGGTCCCCACCCACTATGGTGACCTCAAACCTCCTTGGCCTGTTTACTGCCTTGAGCATCAGCAAGCAACCATTTGTGGTATATAGGCCCTGGGACTCTCCTGCATGTGGCCTCACCTGCCTCTTCCTCCTCCTCAGCCTTTCCTCTACCTTCTTCCCTGGGTAGGTAGCACACTCATTTGCAGAGATGTGAGATGGCAGAGTCCCTGGACTCTCCTGGCATTGCTGTCCCTTGGGCAGATACTCCAGTGGGCCCCTTAAGGTACAACAGTTCTGTCCAGTCAGTTAGTGCTCTGGTGTATGTTCAGAGTCAGTTTTACCTATACAAAGGCAGTGTCAACACAGTCTTCTGTGTGCATCTCCTTGCTCTGCAGACTGATTTTTATCACTGCTAGATGAAATTCTCATGGACTTCCTTAAGAACTAAGAGTCCATGGAGTTCAAATTGAGAAGGGTAGCCTGTAACTTACTCAAACTCAGGAACAAGGCATAGGTTCTGTTGCCACAGAGTCCCCAAGGCCAGTTCTGTGACTCCAGTGCTTTGCTATGTGGATGGTCTAGCCCCTACCACTGCTCTCAAAGTGCAGAGCCCCCCCCCCCCCCAATTTCCATCCTTGGCATCACAATGGAGAAAGAGGACAGGGAAAGACTGAAGATTCTTCCAGGGCCTCAGTGCCTGTGATTCCCTTTCTGCTTCCAGCCAGGCTTTCTTAAGCGCTGGGTTGGCATATGGGAAGCTGGGTAAACTTCCCCCAGGCTGCTTCCCAGAGCTCCCAACCTGGCTCAGCCTTGCATATGTGGCTTGGGCTTGCTAAGGCAAACTTGTTTGCTGTGGTGTCTTCCTGTTGTTCCTGCTATCTTGCTGGTGAGTGAAAACCACACCTGCTTCTAGGAGCCAATCAGAAAGGCCCTTCTGGGTTCTCCTCCCCTGAATATTCCATTTTTCCTGGTCAGAAGGAAGGACTAGGGAAGGGTCAGTGGGGAAGGAAGTACTTGTACATGTGTGGGGAGGGAAGTACTTCCCTCTTATCCCTGCAGTTGCTTCCTCTTGGCCAGACCTTGGGTGGGTGAGATGTTGCTGGTACTACCTAGCCAGGCTCTTCACTTTGCTGCAGATAGAGGCAAAAAACAAAACCCAAGGAACCCGAATGGCCAGGAGCCAGGAAAGATAGCTACAGAAGATGCCCTCATCAAAAGCCCCTTCCTGATACTGGGGCCTTCACTGCATCTTCCAGAAATCCTTGCCTGTCTCGACCTAGCCCTGATTGCCATATGCAGAAAATGCAGCACCTGAGATTTCACTCTAATCAGGCTGGATCCAGAGTGCACGTTCACTGCCAGTGACTGGGGGCAGTGATGGCTGTGCGAGGCTTTGAGACCTTCATGTTCCCACATGAAGGGAAAAAATGGTGCTCCTGAGCATTGTAGCTGAGCCTAAGGTCTGGTACAGAGGAAGCCTGTAAAGCGGCCTTTGCCACCCTGCTTTGCTCCCATATCTGGAGTCTCTTCAGCATCTGGCAAGTCCATTCTTTCTTCTCCTTTCCTTTCACAGCCTGGTGGGCATGCTGCTTAGGCATGGCCTTTGGCTGGGCACGAGTGCACTGGTATTGGAGCTGTGCTTGGCTGAAAGGGTGCTTCAGCAGGCAACAGCACTTCAGGGACATAGGGTAGGGGGTTCTGGAGTGCAAACTAGGAAGCATGCTGGCTTGATTGTTACATGTCCTGGGCTGTCCTAGCCTCTGGTCTCCTGTTGTCTTGGGACGTGGGGTGGGGGTGAGGGGGAAGGCCAGATTCTTGAGGGCTCCTTCCCTTGGGATCCTGTATATTTAACAAGAGCCTTGGTGAAGTAGGAATTGCTGCCTTCCCAGTTAGAACTAATAAGCACCCCACCTTTAGCAATTTCCAGTATAGGGATAGAGGACAGCCTTGTGGACTGACTTATGCTACACTTTGAAATCTGCCCCATCCCTTCAGGTCTTAGTGAATCATTCATGGAAGTGATGTCCATGTGTTTTAGGTGTATACGAAGTGTTCTTTTATACACCTACCTGCCAGTTTGGTAATCCCGCTCCCTGCTCCCCATACTGGGGGATTGAACCTAGGGCCTTATACATGTTAGGCAAGCTCTCTACCACTGAACTACATCCCCAACCAATTGGGTAGACTTCTTGTCAAGACAACCCATGGAAGTCCCTTAGTAGTCCCTCACTCAGTATCTCTGGGGATACTGGTTCCAAGGTTCATACCCCAGGACACCAAAATCTACAGATCCTTAAGCCCCTTGTGTTTATACATAATTTGTTCTGCTTTAAGTTTTCAAAGCCAGGTGTGGTGACACATACCTATAATTTCAGCACTCAAGAGGCTAAGGCAGGAGAATCACAAGTTCCAGGCCAGTCTGGGCTACAGTGAGATCCTGTCTCAAAACAAAATAAGGCAGGGTATGATGGTGCAGGACTTTAATCTCAGCACTTGGGAGGCAGAGGCAGGTAGATCTCTGTGAGATCACGATCTGGTCTACCCAGTGAGTTCCAGGCCAGCTGGGGTTACAGGGAGACCCTGTCTCAACAAGAAAAACAAAACAATAAATAAAACAGATGCAATATTTATTAAAAGTTTTTTGTTACATTCAGAGATGGGTATAGAGGCCATATATATGGAGGACCAGTTGTACATATTTTTCTTTTCTATACAGAGTCCTTTTGCACCTAGCTCAGAGGTTTCTTTTCTGAGCCTCAAGGCATTCTAGGCCTTGGTGACCAGCAACATGTTCTAGTGATAGTGGGATCCAAGGCTCTGGTGGGCTGTTATGTGTACTTACCATACATAATGTCATCTAAGGTCAGTGGGACAGTAAGATACTTCTAGAAGGACAGAACTGGGCAGACCTCAGAGCTAATGAGGGCTGATTGACCATGTAAGGTGATCATAAGGGCCCATCTGTGTCAGCTGGGGCTTGCCTGTGGGAGACCCTGGGCTGGGCCCCTGAGGGTGCTGCTCTGCTGACCCAAGGTTGCTGGGGCAGAGATTGTTTTGGATTGTCACTGATGAGCTTTTGTTCTTGTTTTTTGTTTTTTTTCTCCTTTGTTCTTTCTTCTGGGCTCCTGATGTGTTTTCTTTCTCCCCCTCTCCCCCTCCCCTGTCCTGCCCTACCCTCTCTCCCTTTCCCCACCCTGTCTTGTTCTCTAATCTACCTCTTCTTGGCCTCTCTCTGTTGACTCTCAGTTGGAGGTTCTACACTACCGACTCAATGTCTCCAGCGCCCTCCACAGCCCTGCCCAACCCAGCCTCCAGGCCCTCCACGCCTACCAAGTACTGGCCCTCTCCTTTCCTTCCCTTCCTTTGCCCCGAGGTGGGCATACAGAGTGCATGCAGTAGTGCTTGAGGGTCTACCAGGAGTCTGTTGCGATTGGTTAAGAGGCTAGCTCTGAGTAGAGGGAAGCCCATGTGTTGGGGGCAGGCAAGGTTTAGTCTTCAACCTTGCAAGCTAACCTGGTTTGGGGTCTGGTCCTGTGGTTATGTGAGGCACATGACCTGGCTGGCCTCTTTTTCCCCTAGTCTGCAGAGCTGTCTCAGCTTCTCAGGTTTTGAAGGGAAGCAGTGGTCAAGGGTTGGTCCTCTACAAGTAACCAAGGATGCAGAGGCCTAGGGTTTAAATGTGGTATGGCTTTTCCCCTATTCAGAGCCATCACCCAGGCTGAAGGTTGTAGCTGACCTCTATAGATATATGGCAGGTGGTAGGGAGAACTTGGGAGAACCCCCAAGCCCACAGGCTATGAGTCCTTGACAGTGTAAGCAGGGCCTGGCCTTTTATTGAACCCTAGACTCCTAGAGGCAAACAAGAGCAAACAGTGACCCAAAGGAGATTACTGTCTGCTTAGGCAGAAATGACCAATGTATGGACAGATTTGACATCAGTGGAGTGGAGTTCAGACCACAGACATTCGTGGGCAGTAAAGTTGGCTGATTGTGAGAAACAGTGGGAACATGGAGCTGTGCTCTCAAACAGAGCTCTATCTAGTTTATCCTGGGAAGGAACATGTAACAGTTGAACTTGAATTTGAGCACAAGATGAAAAATCATTGCTTCCCTGCTGAGTGCTGGCGTGGAATAATAAGTACAGAAGAAACATCTGCAGTAAGGAAGCCCCATGGGAGATCTTAGCAGTGAAGCAGTTTCCCAGGAAACAGTTGGCTCTATTCACCTCCATAGCAGGAGAGGTGTGAGATTGGGCCCTAGAGAGGCTGGGTACGGTGGGAAATGCTATGGACTTTGGGAGCACATCCTTATGTCATTAGAAAGTAAGCTGCTGGGACTGGAACACTCAGTGGTAGAGTATTCCCCCAACATGTGAGACCCTGGGGGCCCTCAGTACCACAGGAGAAGGGAGGAGATTGATAGGGTGTTTATATGATTGGGGAGGGGCAGCCAGGGCTGGCCCTGCAGAAACTCCATAGAAATCTGGGTGAGGTGGGGCAGTGCTTGCTGCTAGGGAGTAAGCTGCTAGTTCCTGTGAAGGTTCTGGCTCCTTTCTGAGCTGAGGGACAGTGTCACAGCTCAGGATGTCAGATCAGGGACTAGGAGAAGAGATGTATGTAGAGAAGCGGTATGCTGCTGAAGGGTGTGTGGGAGAGGAGCTATAACCTGGCCTGATGCTCAGTATTGATTAGTTCATGTGATAATTATATGTCTTAGTCTATTTTTTGTTATTAACACAATGTTACAGACTAACAAATTATAAAGAAAAAGCTTGACTCATAGTTCTGGGCCAGAGTTAAGGGGTGTATCTGATGATGGCCTTATTGCTGGCCATCATCATGTTAAGTCCATGTTAAGACAGGACTTATAGAGACCAGACTATCCAGCACTTGTGAGGTAGAGGCAGAAGGATTGCCAGTTTGAGGCCAGTCTGAGCTAGCTAGTGAAACTTTCTCAAAAGGGCTAGGGGGTGGGGGACAGTTGTAGCTCAGTGGTTAAGCCCTTGCCTAATATGCTGAAGACCCTGGTTTCAATCCCCAGGAGCCAAACTGGCTTTATGGTATACTTACTCAGGAGATGAGCCATTGATTCACTAATCATATGATGGGATGAATCCTTCTGAGGTCAGAGCCCTGATCAGGTTCGATACCACTAGCCCCTACATCTTAATACCCATAGCAGGATTGAATTTCATTGTGAGTTTTGGAGGGAACAAACTTTATTACTGTATGAAGTTAGCCAATGAGGTTTGTCCTCTGGACTGTGGGGACCTTTATTTTCCCCTTGAGATAGGATTTCACTATGTAGATTTTGCTAGACTGGTATGTAGACTATGCTGGCCTAGAACTTTTGACAATCCCCCTGTCTCTGCCTCTCAGGTGCTGGGATTGTAGACAACACCCCAGTCACTGTGGCGGCATTTTCATGACAAGGAGGCCTGAGTGGACTCTGTCATAGGCAGAGCCTGTGTATGGTCTTGTGGACCTCAGGTGTGCCATAGAGCACCTTTTGCCAGCCTTGGCTCTACAGGTCTGTCAAGGCCGAAAGGACAGTATGGGGTGGGGGGTGAGGAGGGAGGGAGTGAGCCTTACTGGACTCACTCCTGTCTCCAGTTACCACCTCTAGCCTTGCTCCACAGTCCACTTCCAAGGCACCTACCTATACTCAGATGCTGAATAAGCAGAGAAGCTCAAGAGCCAGTAAAAAGACTTGGTTTTTGGCCTCAAAGATCCTGTGTTTGTGTTACTCTTGTCCTGGGGATTTTAGTTGACTACAGGTCTACTGGCAATGATAGAAGTGACTCCCTGGGTTCTTCCAGAGCTGAGTTCCCATCTGGCTGTGACCAGGATGGGGAGCCGGGAGGGGCTGGGGTTGTGTCTGGAGGAGACGTTCTCGATTCAGCAAGGTGAGCCCTGATGAACTTTTTGCACAAGTTGGGGAAGGCGGGTAACTTCGGATACAGAGCTTTTCTTATCCTTTGACTCACCAGAGGCAGGGAACCCCAAGGCCCAGCACAGACTGCAGTGCCTAAGGGTGCGTGGCCATGTGTTGCCAAGGTGGGGCTTGGGGTGACCTTTGCAGACTTGTCTGCTTTTGCCAGCCCACCCCAGGGTAGCTACGGCAGGTACCAGGCCACAGGCTTCTGTGCTGTGAGCTGATATCAATTCAAATCCAGCAGAATGAGATGTATTCATTGAATGCCAGGCCCATTGGGACCCCAAGGGGTGATCCTATGCTGGCTTGGCCTGTTTCCTGTGAGGTTGTGGAACAATTGGATCAGAGCAATAGGTGTTTGCAGACCTCCTCTGACCTTGACACCCCTCTCCTCCTTCAACTTAGGAATCCTTCACACCCACAGAGGAGCATGTACTGGTAGTACGCCTGCTGCTGAAACACCTGCACGCCTTTGCCAACAGCCTGAAACCAGACCAGGCTTCACCTTCTGCGCACTCCCATGCCACCAGCCCCCTGGAGGAGTTCAAGCGGTGGGTGTGGGATGTGGCAGGGCTTCTGGGCACAGTGGTGCCCACTATGACTAACCTTTTAATGGGCCGTTTTGAGTCCAGAGGGTTGGCTCCTTCAGCTCTTGAAGCCTTCCCTCTGAATGCCCTGTACAGTGGAAAGAGCTGACTGATCACAGATCCTAGTCTTGCTGTTCTGCTTGTCCCTTACCCCTGTCAGGAGGAAGGCCAGTACCAGAGTCTGTCTTCAAAGGCAATTTGTGTACTCTGTCCCTGGCCCATTTAGTTTCTTCTGAAGAACAGGGCTAGAAATAGATCTTACCTCTCGGGAGTACCCAGTGTTCCCTGCTGGCAGAGCACACTTACAGGCCAGGGCTGACCCATGATCAGGCCCAGCCTTCTGGGCAAGTGGCAGCCAATGACCCTCCCATCCTTACAGGGCTGCTGTACCACGGTTTGTCCAACAGAAGCTCTATGTGTTCCTGCAGCACTGTTTTGGCCACTGGCCTCTGGATGCATCCTTCAGAGCTGTAAGTACCACCCCCTTGAACCCTCACTATTTGGCCTCTGTCCCCAGTTGTGGGCAGACCTATGGGGTAAGCAGATGAGGCAGGAGAGGCTGTCACCACAGGCCTTAAAAAGGAAGCTTTGGCAGTTCATGTTCTCTGGTCTTTTGGTGCAGAAAAGCCCTGCATTACCCTGTCCAGAGCAGCTCTCTGTGCCAAGCGTCTCCCAGCCACATTCAGTGCCCAAGGCCCTAGCATGAGGTTACATGAGCTCTGCCTTGGGAGGATATGGGAAGAAGTGTTCACTCACTGGCATCTGCATTGAGGTCATTGAGGTCAAGGAAACTCCGAACCCAGCTGGGCCCCTACACTCTCCTAGCAGAAACTCAGCCCCACAACTAGGACACAGACCTTTCTATCTGCTGTCTTTGGTGCCAGGTAAAGACAACTATAGTGTGTGACTGAAAGCCTAGAGCCCCAGGCCTTCAAGGAACATATGTCCCTCACCTAGGTCCTGGAGATGTGGCTGAGCTACCTGCAACCATGGAGGTATGCCCCTGAGAAGCAGGCTCTGAGCAGTGATTCCCAGCCACGATGTGTATTGGAGAAATGGTGAGCCTCATCAGCATGCTCCTCCTGGGAGTTCTGCTGCCCTCTTGAGCAGAAACTGCCTTGGTGGGCAGATGCTGAGCTAGGCATACTGTACTTTGGTTGGCCTTGCTTTGCCCCTATGGCCACCTGGGCTTGTCTAGGCTTTACAGAATGGATACACAGGGTGAACCTGGAACCCCATCTCCTTGGCTTGGCCTAACCTGGCTCCAGTGAATGTTCATGTTCACCCCAAAGCCCCCACTTCACCAGCACAAAGCAGCAGCAGCCTATCCATTATCTCACACTCCTCATGGTCAACCAACCCTGGTGCTGGTATCACTATGGCTTTTCCTTTCCTGGATCCCAGCCTTACCCTTCACATTCCTCTGCTCTTCCTCCCTTTGCCCCATCAGGTTCTAGCATACCTTGCTGTGGTGGCCATGGCCCTCTTGAGAAGAGACATATATTTGAAACTCAGTTGAGCCAGAGGGTAGAGGTGTGGCCTGCCTCTCTTTCCTGATGTTTTGTAGAGAGGAGTAGTGTGGTCTCCAGCAAGAGGTCTTTGTCACCGTCTTACTTGGGCTTCCATCCAACCCACCACCTGTCCCCAGGGCACCCTTCATCCAGGAAAATCTGCTGATGTATACCAAGCTATTTGTGGGCTTCCTGAACCGTGCACTCCGCACAGACCTGGTCAGCCCCAAGAATGCACTGATGGTATTTCGAGTGGCCAAGGTCTATGCCCAACCCAATTTGGCTGAAATGATCCAGAAAGGTGAGTCCTCAACATTGGGCCAACCAGGCAGGCCCTCTTCCAGCTGAGTGAGCTAGGACCTTCGTTGGTGGAAGTGGCACATAGAGAGGGACCCAAGTGTGCCTGAAGAATTTTTACTATGACTTGGCACAGGCTGGCTTGAGGCCTTTTGGTACACATCAGTGTGGTAAAAGCTCTGCTTCCTGGTGCTGGCAGCCAGGCAGGGGCTTCACTGCTCAGAGGGAAGACGAGCTCCAAGCTGTACCTCTTTCAGGACTGCTGTTTGTCCTTATAACTGGTAGTGGTGGCAGAAGGTGGACCTGGTCCCCAGAGTGCTTTGTCAGGCACTCGCTTCTGTTGCTCTCCTGGCATTTGCCTGCTGTTGGTCCTGCTGGGGCTCCTGCTCATTAGGAGCTGGGTCCTTGATCCTCTGGCCCCACCCATGGTAGCCACCAACCCCATTTCTAGGGCATGGTCTAGAGTTTCAGCATTGTCACACCTTTACAGAAACCTGAGAAAAAGCTTTTAGAATCCTGCCAGTAGCACTTAGGCCCTCCACCCTGGGAAGCAGGTGCCAGACTTGTATCCTTCCTTCCAGGTGAGCAGCTGTTCCTGGAACCAGAACTCATCATTCCCCACCGCCAGCATCGGCTCTTCACAGTAACCAGCAGCTTTCTGTCACCATGGCCCCCAGTTGTGACGGATGCCTCATTTAAGGTGAAGAGCCATGTCTACAGCCTGGAGGGCCAGGACTGCAAGTACACCCCAATGTTTGGTCCTGAGGTCCGGACCCTGGTGAGTAGAGACAGGCTTACTCAGTGTAGAGTCCTTGAAGCTAAGGGGACCCCAGAACCATGGAAGGTGTCTGTAGCGCAAAAAGGAAGGGGAGCTCTAAACTCTCCCCAATAATGGCTGATGGCTAATTTGGTTTTGTTTGTTTGTTTATTTGTTTTGAGACCTGACCCGAACCTTACTAGTATATGTAGACTTGGCTGGCTTCAAATTCAGAGATCCATCTGTCTCTACCTCTCAAGTGCTAGGATTAAAGGCATACACTACCATGCCCAGCCACTCCATAAATCTTTTTTTTTTTTAGTATTTATATTTTTATTTTATGTGAATGAGTATTCTATTTGCATATATATATATATGTATATATATATATATATATATATATATATATGCATGCACCTGTGTCATACAGTGCCCGTGGAGGTCAGAAGAGGACATTGGATCCCTTGGAACTGGAATTATGAATAATTGTTTGCTGCCATGTGGCTGCTGGGAACTGAACCCAGGTCCTCTACAAGAGCAGCCAGTGCTCTTAATTGCTGAGCCATCTCTCCAGCCTGCACTCCATAAACCTTGAGATGCTCCTCTTAGTCCCTTCCCTCTCTGGGTGGGCACTTCTTCTGGGCTGGTTCCTTAGTGCCATCCTGCCCAGATGGCAGTGACATCTGTCCCATGGTAGCCTCCTTAGCCTGGTGGCCTTGCTTGTGCCTCCCTCCCAGGTCTTGCGCCTTGCTCAGCTCATCACACAGGCCAAGCAGACTGCCAAGTCCATCTCTGACCAGTGTGTGGAGAACCCAGCTGGCCGTTCCTTCCTGTCATGGCTGGGCTTCTGCTCCACAGACCCAAATGCCTGCTACCCAGCCAATGACATGGATGAGATGGGCCAGGACAGTATCCGAAAGACAGACGAATACCTGGAGAAAGCCCTGGAATACCTCCGCCAGATCTTCCGAGTATGTCCTGCACTATACCATCCCCCTTATGAGGGATTCCTTCCAATGCGATGAAGAGTACCCCCTTCCCCTTGAAATTGAAAGCAAAGGCTTTCCTTTCTCTCTGATAGCTCAGTGAAGCCCAGCTGGCCCAACTCACACTTGCCCTGGGAAACACACAGGATGAGAATGGGAAGAAGCAGCTCCCAGACTGTATTGTCGGGGAAGATGGACTCATCCTTACGTCCCTGGGCCGCTATCAGGTAAACCACCCAAGTTGCATCTGATGTCTGTCCTTGATTACCCCCGCCCCCCAAGCAAACATAAGACTCCTCTGTGTTGTTTATAAAGATGTATTTTCTGAACTATTCCCATGGCCTGGGGTTCTAGATTATCAATGGGCTACGAAGGTTTGAAATTGAGTACCAGGGGGACTTAGAGCTGCAGCCCATCCGGAGCTATGAGATCACCAGTCTGGTCCGAGCACTCTTCCGACTGTCCTCCACCATCAACCGCAGAGTAAGTGAGCAGCAGGTACAGCTGGGCTGCTTCTCAATGTAGTTTCTTCTTTTTTTTTTTTATATATACATATATTATTATTTTTATTTTATGTATATGCGTATATTGCCTGCATGTAAGTAAGTGTACCCGTGTCGTGCAATGCCCGTGGAAGACAGAAGAGGTTGTCGGATCCTCTGGAACTAGAGTCATGGACAGTTGTTTGCTGCCATGTGGATGCTGGGATTCGAACCTGGGTCTTATGCAAGAACAGTGTTCTTAACTGCTGACCCATCTCTCCAGCCCCATCAGTGTAGCTTCTAGAGGGTGCTCCTGTCTCAGGCAGCATCCTCCCCTTCACAGCCCTATTTGATCCTCCTAGAGAGTAAACCTGTGAGGGTTACCTTGTCTTAGGTGGCCTGGAAGGGATGGTGCTCTACTATCCTGAGGCCTGTGACACTTGCTGTCCCCAACCCTCCTGAGCCCTTGGTTTGCTTCAGTTTGCAGGCCAGATGGCAGCTCTGTGTTCCCGGGATGACTTCCTTGGTAGTTTCTGCCGTTACCACCTCACTGAGCCTGCGTTGAGCAATAGGCACCTGCTGAGCCCTGTGGGACGAAGACATATAGCCAGCCCTGCCCGGGGCCCCAGGCTCAGCCTGCGTTTCCTGGGGAGTTACCGGACACTGCTCTTGCTCCTGATGACCTTCTTTGTGGCCTCTCTGTTCTGTATTGGACCCCTACCCTGTTCCTTACTCCTGGTCCTGGGCTACCTCCTCTATGCCATAGCCATGACACTGCTGACTGAGCGGGGAAAGCTGCATCAGCTCTGACCTGCTGGCCACTCTTCAGAGCAGACTGCTAGGGTTTGATGCACAACTCCTTCTTGGGCCTGAGAAGCCCTGGCAGGTTACTTAGAAGCCAGGTCATCTTTGAAGTTCTTGGGGGTGGTTTCCTGCATAAGTGGAGTCATTCAAAGAACCTGGGCTGGGAAGGGAGAGGGGTTCAGGCCTGGGATAGAAAGGACAGTGTCAGAGGGTTCACTGGCCATTCTGAGCAACAACTAGTGCTGGCTATGAGTACTTCTCACCCTCAGCCCAAGGGCTAAAAGCAACTAAGCAGCTAGTCTCAAGGCCTTTGTGATTATTTTAGTATTTTTCTGTGCAGAGCTCAGGAACTGGTGTGACCACAGCTGGTTCTAGGTCTATGCTTTGTGGGAGCTGATCCAGCCTGAGCCTGGCTGTGAGGTGGGTGGAATGGGTTGTGATGCCTTCTCTCCCTATGAAGTACCAAGACAGTAGCTCAGCATCTGCTCCAGGGAAGAATCAAAGTTTCTAAGAGATTCATGAGAAAAGTAGATAATGGCTCTTGATTTTGCTATATTTGGCAAGCCAAGGATTAGTCGCTGTTCTTCGCTGTTCTTCCAGCTAGTCCCCAGAAGACCCTCTCAGCACAGATCCACAACAAGACCTCTGGTCCTCAAGTGGTTCAGTGAGCATGTTTCTTTGAGTGGGTTCCACCCTTCACGGTGCCATGTGGCAGGCAAACATTGCAGATGGGCACTGGTCTTTCAGCAGCATGGGGATAGAATTGGATTCTACCAGCTTTTGTGGACAGCAAATTCAGCATTGTTTCTACCCTGTAAAACCAAATGCTTCAAGGCACAGTCACCTTTGATTAACACCAACACTGTATCACAGCAAAGCTAAACTACCAGGGGGCCCATCTTTGGCATCCTGCAGATGACACTAGCAACAACAGCCTCTCCATGGTGATTTAAAACCAAGCAAACTTTTTCAAGTTTAAACACCAGGCTTTGTATTTTAATGTCATTTCAGAATACATCTTGGAACCCATGACCAAAAGCCAAACCAAAACTTAACTGACCATGGTTCTGAATAAACCATTCTTTGGAGACTTTGAGTATCTCTGGTGAATCTTGAGCAAGTTTACCTGCTTGGAGTCCCTGGGCACATAGGAACTGCAGAACTAGCTGCTAGACACAGCAGCACTTTTCCTGGGGCAGGCCTTTTTGTTTGGAAATTCTATCTGTCTCTCAAGGCCTGGTGTATTCAGCTACAGCAGTTAGCAAGACCAAAGCGGATGTTGAAGTGGGAGGCAGGCTCTGCAGTGAGACTGAGGGCAGACTCGACAAATCAGGACTGGCTTTAACTGTTCACACAGAACAGTGATCACCTCTGGATTCCAGAAACTCTGGGTCTGAACTGCACTGACCAGCTCCAGGTCAGCATCTTTCCAGGAGCATACCAGGGGGTAATTGCCATTTTAGTGTTGGAAGTTCCTGATTCCCCAGGTCAGAGTCTGAATGACTAGCCCTCACCAGTAACCCCAACTATACCAGTATTTATGAGATGGCTCTAGTTTTTAATATTTTTTGACAGATTTCATATTTATATATACTGTATCTTGATCATATCCACTCCAAGCTTCCCCTTCCAATCCTCCTGGAGTTTATTTAAAAAAATTTTGCATTTTGTGTGTGTGTGTATGTGTGTGCACATATGCCATGGTGTGTGTACATACCTAGGTCAGGGTACAATTGGAAGAAATCTGTTTCTTCTTCCATTATATGGGTTGTCAGGCTTGGCAGCAAGTGCCTGTAATCCCCTGAGCCTTTTTTCCCCCCCAGATAGGATCTCACACTATAGCTTACTGTGACACTATGTAGCTCAGGCTGGAATTATATGTGTGAACTACCATTCCAGGCTTGAAGTGGCTCTTTTAAATTTGTTGTGTTGAGGATATAGAACCCTGGGCTGTGTACACGCTAGGCAAGTGCCAACCACTGACTTGCACCCTGGGCCATTAAGAAGTGGCTTACAAAAAAAAAAAAAAAAAATCAGGCATAGTGGTGTACACCTTTAACCCCAGCACTTGGGAGGCAGAGGCAGGGGGATCTCTGTGAGTTCCAGGTCAGCCTGGTCTACTTTGTGAGTTCCAGGACTCCTGGGGCTACAGGGAGACCCTGTCTCAAAAAGACCAAAGAAGTGACTTACATAGCCTTCGCTTAAAAATTTAGGGGGCTGGGGAGATGGCTCAGTAGGTACAAGTACTTGCTGTGCAAGCATGAGGACCTAAGTTCAGATCCCAACACTCACATAAAAAGCTGGGCAAGATCAAGTTTGCACCTGTAACCCTAGCATTAGAGGAGCGGGCTTGAGATGTGGAATACTTAACATCCACCTCTGGCCTCTTGTGTGCATACAACATGCACATAATTTAGTTCCCAGTGGGTGTAGTGGCACAAGCCTATAATCTCAGCACTCAGGAGGCAGAAGCAGGAGGATCACAAGTTCTAGGCTAGCGTGTACTACATAGCGAGTTTCAGGCCAGCTGAGGCTACAGGGAGACCCTGTACCCAAAGGAGGGGAAAAAATGTGAGCTAATAAAACACAACAAAATGAAAGATTAAGATTCATTGCAAAAGCCAGTGAAGTGGCACATGCCTGTAATCCCAACACTTGGAAGTAAGAAGAATCTGTGCTACATAGTGAATTTCAGGCCACCCTGTGCTACAGAATGAAACCCTGTTCAGAATTTCAAAATGGGGCTGGCTTAGAAGGTAAAATGGGGGATGGAGAGATGGCTCAGCGGTTAAGAACACCGATTGGTCTTGCAGAAAATCGAGGTTCATATCCCAGCACCCACATGTCAGCTAACAACTGTTAACTCCAGTCCCAGGGGATCTGACAGCCTCTTCTGTCCTCCGTGGGGATTGCACAAGGGTGCACTTACCTATACGCAGGCAATAACGCATACACATAAAATAAAAATATTTTTTATAAAGAAGGTGAAGTAGTTGCTGCCCAAGTATGAGGGCCTAAATTCCGACCCCGCAGCACCCACGTAAAAAGTTTACACCTGTAAACTGGAGGAGATAGAGGAACTCCAGGTTCAGTCTCAAAATATAAAATATGAAGATGGAACCCAGGCGTTGTGGGCATGCCTTTAATCCCAGCGCTCCGGAGGCAAGCAGGTGGATCTCTGTGAGATCGAGGCCAGCTTGCGCTACATAGCGAGTTCTGGGCCACCTGGAGCTGCAGGGAGACCCTGTGTCAAAAAAAAAAAAAAAAAAAAAAAGGTGTAGGGATAAAGATGCCCAATCTAGACCTCTTGTTTCCCCACGCAGACGCACGGGCGCGCGTACCCGAACACACGTGGGCACACACAACTGTAAAAGCAGTCACTTCTGACTGGTTCAAAACTCAGGGGCTTTACTGTAAGTAGAAAGAGGCCGCAGGCCCCGCCCCGCAACGCGCCCCGCCCCCTTGGGGGGGGGTATGCCCGTTCCCATGGCGACGCGGCGCCAAGCTTGGGCAGATGGTACACAGGAGAGGCGGCCGCGGCGGTACCTACATGAGCCGGGCGGGGGTGGCTGCCGGGGCGACGTCCCTCAGCTCCCCCACCCCGGGCTCCTGGGGCACGTTGCACCTGCGCCCGCGCCCTTCCGCCCGCCAGCAGTCCACTGGCCCGCTGCCCGCACCGCTCGGGCTCAGCGAGGCGCAGAAGCGGGTCCTGGACCTGGAAAAGAGCCTGCAGTTCCTGCAGCAGCAGCACTCAGAGACGCTGGTCAAGCTCCACGAGGAGATTGAGCACCTGAAGCGGGAGAACAAGGGTGAGTCTCTTGGCCGCTGGCCGGACAGAGCTCACCCAGCCACGTGGCGCCCTGAGCCTCCCAGTGTGCGAGTGAGGAAGGGGGCTTTTTGTTTTACTGGGTCCTGCCGGCAGGATGTCCTCTAGCTTGTGTTCCAATTGGGCCCACCCGTCCAGGCACACGCTGACCTGCCTTGTGCGCTCCTCCCAGGTCCAGATTACTTTAAAATGCTGCATAAGTTGAACATAGCAGAGAAAGTGCCAGCAAACTGCCACCAGCTGTACACATCCAGATCAGGGGCAGGCAGGGGAACTTCATGCTCCCCTCTAAGGCCTATTCAGAACTTCAGGCTTTCTGGTGATGTGATGGTGACTGCTTCACACCTCAGCTCCTCTACTTCCCCCTACCCCAGGCCTGCCACCTCAGTTTCCCCCTCTTTCTGGGGCTGGTATGTTAAAGATTCATTCCTTCACTGGGCATCTTACTACATCAGAACCGCTCCCCCCCCCCCGCTTTCCTGCGGCTCACCCTGATCCCTGATTGAACCACCCCCCCCCCCCCCCCAGCTTTCCTGAGGCTCACCCTGATACCTGATTGAACCACCCCGTGCCACACCCCTCCTTCATCCATAGCCAGGGGGGCTCCCTGGAAGTCTAGGTCGTCCTACCGCACCTCTCTACACCCCCCTCACCCCCAAACCCTGCCTGGTCTGGCAGAGTGGGAACATTGCAGGTGTTGAGGTGGTGGGGACAACTGGGATCAGCCAGAGGCATTTCTGGCCTGGGATGCTTGAGGAAATGGCTTGGTGGAAAACCTGGCTGGACCCATGCAACGAGCAGGCCAAGCTGCTGTTCTGAGTAGCTGGAGATGTTAGGAGTGACGAGGAGTGTGTTTGCTTTCAGATCTCCACTACAAGCTAATCATGAATGAGATGCCACAGAAGAAAGGTAGGACTCATGTGCTTGCTGGGAATTACCACTTGTGCTCATCTAGCAGCACTGAGCCCAGCATGCTAACCCAGAGGGAACTGGTTCTAGATACCTGGACAGATGTCACTTTCCCCAAGCATGGCTGGCTGGCTTGCTCTCAAGGCAGAGGGTGTGAGGACTGTGCAGTAGGGACAATGGAGAGCTGCAGGCCTTCCCTCAGCTGAGCAGAGCTCCTGGAACAGGAATGACCCTGAGGCAGCCCCCATCCCCTGAGGCTCATCACCCTGATAGGTTCTGATTTGCTGCTGTGGTGTCAGCCCCTGGATCCCCAGCCATGGCAGGGTGCTGCCAGATTCCTTACACCTAAGTGAGGTGTCTCCTGACACTTCCCTTTGGGGACTCCTTCTTGCCATCTCCACAGCAACCATAGGGACCCGAGGTAGGGCAGACTCAAGAGACCTATAGCCAAGAGTCCTAGGCACTTCCTCCTCCCCTTGGTGGCTTGTTCTTTTTGCTGGTCCTCTAGTGCAGCACACTCCAAGGACATACCAGTTGAGTTTGTAGTTCCTTACCCTTAGTTTTCTGGACATCAGGTGGTCTGTCTGTCAAAGGTGCCTGCTTGGAAACCTGAGAAAGTTTCTGGTCCTGGCATGTCTAGGCTCCTCTTTCTGAAGACACGTAGAGAACAGGTGGTGGGAGGACTCTCCTCCAACAAAGCAGCATGGTCTGACATGCTGTTTTAGGGCCCTGTGCAGCCTGAAGTTAATGGCCCCAGGACATCATGGGGCACTGTGCTCAACCCAGGACCTGTCTCAGGGCCTGCCACTCCTTTGGTCATAGCCCCTCTGCATAGCAGATGGTCCCTCAGACTTTTGAGGGATTGCTGCTCCTGTTGGGGCTCATTTGGGTCTGCACCTGCCTTTGGGGAGTATGGGGCAGAGCAGGAGCACAGCCTTGCCAGGTTTGGGGAGGGCCCTGCTTGAGCATGAAGGCCAGGTAGCAGGTACAAATGGGCTCTTGGGCTGAAGCTGCTATCTTGGGCTAAAGTCCTGCACCTTCCCTCATAGACAGCATTTCCACATCGAGCTTTCAATCCAACAAATCCGTCTCTAATTCAACAGGTGAGTAGCCAGCCCATCATGTGCTCAGAAGGGGGTGAGTTCCCTGATGAGGCCCCAGGCTGGGTAGCCAGTGGGGGATGCTGCCTAGGGAGCTGAAAGCCCCTCCACTGGGCAGACTACAGAAGACCCAATGGATTTAGGTGCAAAGAGGCCTCAGAAGGAACCCAAGGAGGGCAGCCCCTGGTGCACTGAAACCACCAGGACCATAGGACAGAGGGAGTTCTTGGGGGCAGGGGAAGCTACTCAATCAGGACAGAGCCAGACTGTCAGTATGGGTCAGCCAGGTGCCATGGCAGGCCCACCTGGGTAGAGCAGTGAGAAGCTGTGTCACTAACAAGAATTCCAAGTATCTGTTGAGCCCCAAGTGTTCTCCTGGGTGGAGGGTATGTGTCTACAGCTAGCAGAAGCCTAGCTCTGCCCAAAGCCCTTAAGCCAGGCAGGATGCAGGAGAAAGGAGGATGGCCCAGCCCATGGAGTCCTGGCCTATGAGACCTGTGGAACAAAATGAACAGGGCCTCTTCTCCTGTACGCTGCCCACGAGGCTGGCCATTCTCACCAGCAGGCAGTAGACCTGGGCCTTGGAAAATAAACCCATGTAGGCTGGATCCCAGGCCTCCACAGGAAAATAAATCCATGCAGGCTGGATCCCAGGCCTCCACAGGAAAATAAACCCATGCAGGCTGGATCCCAGGCCTCCACAGTTTTATTCTACCCAAAATGGGAGCCAGCTTCCACCACTCTTAATTGTTCTGGCACGATCAGCAGGCATCACCACAGGCTTCACCCTCAGAACTTCATTCCTTCCTTCCTGTGGCCCTCTCGAGAGTTTCCCTCTTCTTTACAGAGGAGAAAACTGAGGCAGGGCTAGGGCTTCGTGGAACATGTGGCTGATCCTAGAGGATGGGTCTGCGGCTCTCAAGGCCTTTGGTGATGGCCCTGTTGGTCTGCCCTGCAGCCAACTCTCAAGGCAAGCCCAGGCCCCAGATCAGCTCCTTCAAGAAGCAAAAGTCGAAGATTGACACCTTCCAAAAGACAGACCTGGAGGAGCAGCCATTCAGTGCTGCCATGTTCTACAGCAGCAAGCTGGACAGAGTCCCTGGGGTGCAGAGGCAGGCCAAGTAAGGCCTGCCTGCACCCGAGGGCCAGGCCTGCACCCCAAGGACCCCAGGCTTACCCTTAATAGGTCCCCACCTTGCCTCCTTCTTCACACACCTGACTGCACATGAAAACAGGATCAAGGGAGCAGTTAGCTGCCCGGCTGCTATCTGTTGGGCATTGCTTCCTCCCCTTCCCTGGGGTTCCTGCAGAGCCCCTAGCTGACCTGACCTACAGGGGGTGGGAGGTACAGTGGCAACCCCTAAATCACCACTTTTTCAGAGAAAAATACAAAATTTTGGCCTAATTGGTTTGCCTTTAATTTTTGTAACAGGGTCTTGCTATGTAGTCCTGGTTAGCCTGGAACTCACTTTGTAGACCAGACTGCCTTGAACTTGCAGCCATCAACCTGCCTCTGTCTTCTGAGTGTGAGGATTACAGGCATGCACCTCCATGCCTGGCTATTAATTTGATTTTTACCAAGAACACAATGAGTTGGATTCCTGAGCCAGGATTCCTGGAGCTGGTGTGCCTGTGGCTTCTGGCCAGTCTGCCTTTGGGAGGCATGGGCCAACAGTAGAGCAGGACCAAGCTCTAGGTGACCCCAGAGCTTCCCAGTAGTGTAACCAGCAGGACAGGTTCCTGCCTCTCTGCAGTCCTAATTCCTGAAACCAGTCTGGGCAAGAAACCTGCTGGATGGGGTTAGATTGAGGGTAGCCTGGCAGCCAGCTGGTCACCCCTCAACCACATCTGCCACTCCGTGGCAAGGGGGAGGAAAGAAAGACCCAGGTCACAGCTGATTCTAGTGCACTCTAGCTAGTGGGAGAAGGAACAGGTCTCCTCCCCTCATGTGCTCACACTGGCTGGCATGGGTGCCAGGGAAGCCATTCAGTGCTGCCACCCAGGGAAGTGGTGGGTGGGTAACTAGACCAATCCCACAGGTCACCTCTGGACTGCTGTAATGTTTCAGAGATGAGGATGCAGAGGCCTCTAATTCAGGGGCCACCTTGGTAGGGGGCAGCCAGCACCATGGCCAGCAAGGGACAGGGATGGCCCCCTTCAGTCTGCCCCTGCACCTACGCAAGCCCACCACAGTGCAGCAGTGCGAGGTGGTCATCCGTCAACTATGGAACACCAACCTCCTGCAGGCTCAGGAGGTGAGGCCCTGGGTAGGCACATTGCCCTACATGCCAGCAGTGTGGCACGCTGTACCCATCATGCCTCTCCTTGCCTTTCAGTTGCAGCACCTCAAGTCACTCCTGACAGGGAACCAGAGGCCCAAAGCTACAGCTGAGGCTGGGCTGGGCTCTCCCAAGTGAGTGCCTTGTGCTGGGTGCCCTATCCCAGCCAGCAGAGGTGTGGGTCTCATTGTTAACTTCCTTCCCCAGGGACCAGGAAGTCATGCAGTTCCCCAAAGTCGCCACCAAGGGCCTCTCTAAGAAGTGGTGAGTCCCAGGCTTGGGGAATGGGCAGCTCCACAGCTTGGTGCCACAGGGAGCAGGAGGGAGGGTGTCAAGAGGTAAAGCCAGGCAGACCCTGCTCCGTGCCGACTACTTCACTCGAGAGTACCGGAGGCAGCAGGCAGCTGCTTGGCCTGACTATTGCTCGCCCCATCTCAGCCTAATTCTGAGCCCAATGCCAGCAGCAGAGCGTGCCATCCTCCCTGCACTGAAGCAGAGCCTGAAGAGCAACTTTGCTGAGAGGCAGAAAAGGTTGCAGGTGGCACAGAGCCAGCGCCTGCACCACTCTGTGCTCTTGAGTAGGCGCTCTGGAGCCTGGCCATCCTCTCTTGATGGCAGTTCACACCAACCCTACTTTTCAGCCACACGAAATTCCAAGACAGACAGAGCCCATGACAGATAAAGTACTTGATCTCAGAATTGAGGAATTTGTCTATTTTATTATTTTACTATTCCTGCATGTATGCAAAAGCTCATTATGAAATGTTATTCTCCTACCTGCTGAAAATAAAATTTGTTTCTCCATGTCCTAAGCCTCCTTCTTCACAGGTACCTGGTGTCTCCTCAGCCATTTGCCCCTAACCCACTCTCCTGCTGTTCTGGAAGGGGACTTGTCTAGTCAGCCAAGGCTGGTTCATCCCTGGGACTGACAAGCGCCTTAAGTACCAGCAGTCACAAGCAGCATTCTGGGTCTCCTGGCCAGATGAAGACAAACTCTCCTGTGCTGCGCCCAGGGAACAAATGCTGCTAACAATCCAGCTGAGCTGTTTCAGTGCTCAAAGGACCATAGCCAAGGGAGAACTGTCTTCTCGATGCACCTCCCTATGCCAGGCCAGCAGCTGTTTGTTCCTGGAGGCAGTCAGCTTGTGCCTACTCCCACCCAGCAGCACTGGCCTCACAATGCCCACTTCCAAAAATCATCGTAATAGGAATCTGACCAGAAGCCTGGGCATGAAATGAACCAGGCTGCTATGTCAGAGACAGATGAAGTCTGAGGCATCCTGGGCCAGACTGGACACTGATAAGCTCCAAGGCTGACAACATCCCTGACAGTGGGCCTAGAGTCATAGAAAGGTAGATGCAGTGAACCGACAAACACAGGAATAATAAATTTATTATAAGAACCACATGACAGAGTAGTGCATGTATAAAAAAGGGGAAACTTCTGGTCACCAGAGGGTGACTCACCACTGCCCAGTATGGCGAGTGACCCACAGAGGTGTCATATGGCAGCATTCTAAGGAAAAGTCATACTCTTGGGGGTGGTACAGAGAATATGGTGTTCTGAGGATGCTGGGTCCCAATAACAGTGCCTGGCTGGTCACTCATGTCTCAATAGCAGTGACACAGCACTTCATCCAAGAGTGGCAGGAATGCCAGGGATAGGCCCCCTCAAATGGCTCTACTCCTCACAGCACTGACGAGGAGGTCCATGAGATCAAGGTCCAGCAGGTGGGAGAAGACTTGCTACTGCCTTACTTGCTTTTTCTCCAAACTGGAGGCAAACTGGAGCATTTGCCCTGGATGTGAGAGCATTCCTATGAAGTCCCACATGCCTCAGGTGGCACAGCCCAAACCCCACACTGTGACTAGAGAACTGTGTAGATAGTGAGGGTTTCCTATGTCCTCCGCATTCTCCAGACATGAGTACAATGTGTTCTAACACAGAGATGCTTAGATGGGACCCTGAGTTCTCATGCTGCCAAGTGGACATGGAGTCCAGAGAGGCTGCAGGGAGCATGGCCTGAGGGGTGTAGGGCCTGACTTCTGGAGGAAGTCAATGAAGAAACTTCTTGGGAACACCCCCAGGCCCTCACACAGCCACCTGGCCAATACTGCACAAATGTGAGGAAATGACTGGCAGGTCCCCAAGACAGAAGGGAAAAGCAGGAAAGCTAACCTAACCCAGGCCCTCTAAGAAGCCAACACCTAGAAATGTCCAGTAGACGGTGTGGAATCTGCAGCCAGTCCTGAAGTTCAAGTTTGCTAGGCAGCTGAGAGGCAGGCCTGATGGATGCTCTGGGCCCAGGTGTTGAGCAGGGCTGTGACTGAGTGCTTGTCGGGGAGTTGCAGCAGCCTGGAGGTCATGCACCGGTGCACCGATTGCAGAAAGGGGTTGGCATCTGCAACACAGCAGTAGTGGTGAATGCTGAGTCTGGCAAGGCAGTGGCCACCTGGGCCAGCCCCTGCAAGTGCCTCTGGAAAGGGGCACAACTGCTCAGTCTCCTGTACTCCACTGGTGGTTGGGATTCTTCCAGTCACACTCTCAGGATGGGGTCTGGAGCCCTAGGCTGACCCTGTTGTATGCCAGCTGAGCCTCGGGTACTATCCCTACCCAAGGGGCTCTCTCTGGAGCTATATCACACAGAGTGAGCTACGTGAGCCTCAGCTCCTAATGGTGGCCCTGGGTCACCCTACAGAACTCCAAGGGATATTGTGAGCTTCTTCTCCTCTACTCCCTGCCCTATTTGACAGGTACCCTAGAGCTTCAGGACCAAGGGACTAAGGACACAGTAGCCCTTCTATCTCCAAGTGACTGCTCTGCAGCTCATTCTGCCTATGCAGGAGGTAGGAGATATCGATGGAGGTTATCTCTGCTATACAGGAAACCCTGGATGTTTTCTCAGGGTCACTCACCATACTGCCACTGCCGGTCAATCCACAGTGGGCTCTGGGCAGGGTAGTCGGCAGGCACACTGAGCTCCAGTGGTGGCACACTAGGGAGGTCCTTGTCATCTGTTAACAGAAAGCTGCATGTGTGACCTGGCCCACACCCTGATGGGCATCAACGCAACCCTGCCACCACTATCTGCCCATCTCAGCCCCGCTCTTGAAAGCACTCTCTCTACACCCCACAGGGTTCCACTGAAGCAAGCATAGTGGCCTCTAAGACTCTCCAGCTTCCAAAGCCAGGAAACTTCCTATGGAGACTGAATCCTGCCCACAGCTACCCAGGACCTCTAGCAAGCATACCCACTCCTGTGGGGAGGTAAGAGCGTGGGTTTAGGGGCTGGGGGATCTGGGGAGTTGGGACAAGGCTACCAGGAGGAATAAGAACTGAAAGAGCAGGCATGTGATAGGGCCATGTGAGTACAGGGCAGGCTACAAGTGTGCTTCTTGAAGGCCCTGACACTTGGGCTCCAGCACAGGTGGCAAACCATGCTCCCCCAACATGGGACACTCACCCAGCTTGCAGATCAGGTGGACAGTGCCATTGTTGCTGCAATGAGAAGGGTCCAAGTTCACTAAGAACTTGGGGTCCAGCCTGGCCACTTCACCTTGTAGCACATTGGGGATGCTCTGTCGCTCATCCTCCTCAAACCTGCGCTTCCGGGGGCCCACCACGGGAGACCTGGAGGAGGAGATCACAGTGATTACACGGGAGGCACACAGCCTCTGGCCTGCTGTTCATTACAAGGCCTAGCCTGGCTGTACATACACAATGGGTGGGCCATGGATGGCCGTCATGGCTGGCACAAATGTGCGGTACAGGGAATGGTTGAAGACAGGTGAGCGGATGTTAGCCAGGACAGCATCCAAGAGTGGCTGACACAGGTCCTGTTGCTTGATTGGAAGAACTGGGGGTGGTGGGGGTGTGGGCTAGAGACAAAATGGAAAGGGTCAGTGGCCTGAGCTCATGGCCTCATGTACTGAGGAATCTTCCACACCCCAGGGCCCTCGTATGCACTCACAAATTTCTTGACGCTTTGCCTATAGCCTCTACTTTGTTGCAGAGTGCAAACAATGGCACTGGCACTGGATACATCCCCCAGCCCTGAAGCTTGACTCCCACCCCATTGTACCCAGGGCCAGGGCCTGGATTGGATTGGCAGATACAAGGATGTGGGGTGGGGGGTGCAGGCACCAGCAAGGACTGAGGGCAGATGGTGACTTCTCCCATGTCCTCATTCTACCCAGTCTCCTGGGTAGAATCCCCAGTCAGTCCCAATCTTCGGTACTGCTATTTCCTGACCACAAAGGCTCCTTTCAGCGAAGTGGGCCTTTGGGCTCCACTCACCACTGCCATGTCGTTCTTGAGTTTCTCCAGGGCAATCTCACACTTCTGCAGGGTCTTCAGGGGACACCTGAGGGGAGGGCACATGAGCTGATCCTCTGTTGGCATATACGCTGGGCCAGGTTACTCTAGGGTGTCTGTCTTGACTACTGTCCAGGTGGCCTCCTGGGCCTCAGTCATTGGAAACATTCACACAAGTCCCAAACAGTCCACTAGCTGCTCCCAGAACAGACAGAGCAAGGCCTCAATCTCATCCAGGCTAGTCTCTGTCCCATTTTGGCCCAGTGGCCCCAAGGAAGGATCCCACCCAAGAGGGCCTGGAAGACTGTGCTGCTCCAAAAGGCTCCACTCAGCAGTGACTAGCATTTGGCTAAGGAAAACACATCTGGGAGAACCTTCCTGAAGGGGAACAGAGCCTGAGGTGAGGTGAGGTAAGCTGCAACTCTGAGCTAGGGGAGGCCCATTCAAGCACATAGTCGTGAGCTCTGGTGCTAAGAGCCCATGGCTAGTGGACAGACGGAGCAGAGAGCCTGGTGGGCCATTGTCTTCCATGAGCCCCACCTAGGTTCATCTTCACTACCAGCCCACATGGCTGTAGCTGGCCCTGCTGCCCATGGAGTGACTGAGATGCAGCTGCTTGTCAAAGGTGGCAATTCAGGAAGAGCCCAAAGTGACTAGCTAGCCTGTCGTGTCTAGTTGAAGGTGAGGTTACTGCAAAGCAGGCCCTGGCATAGTGGCCCAATGGGCCAGGCTGTGACAGCCACAATAAAAGTGTGGAGTCCACAGCAGCAGCCCATGTTGGGGTGAATGCTGGGTCTGGGGAAGGTGCAGATGGGGCTGCAGCTTCAGCACACAGCTACTTATGGAAGCACGCATGCCTCAAGTACGGCCCTTAGAGCTGTCACCAAGTCTTGGGGATCCTTTGTGAGCTCTAGTATAGCACTGTTCTGCTCAGGGCCCTGGGGCAGTGCTCACCGCTTAGAGGGGTCAGTGAGAATGTCCAACAGGCTCTTCATCTTACTTAGGTCCTTTTTTCTGTCTGGGAAAGAGAGGGGACACTAAGAAACTGGCCTAGGTGTCCTGGGCCCCACCTTAGTCTGGGCCAGCCCACCTTCATTCTTGTCAATCTTGTTGATCATGCGGCGAAGGGGCTCGATGTACTTGGACAGCTGCTTCAGCTTGTCCAGGTATTGCTGCTCCTCAGCCTGACTGGAGCTGGCCGGGCTCATGACGGAGCTGGGGTTCACTGTTGGGGGGACAGGGTATGTAAGATAGATGGCTACAAACCTTGGGGGTAAGGCACAGCAACTCACGAGGTCCATGAGCTCACGTGCCCTTTACAAGTTGGGACCTTGGGAGGGTGAGGGTGACTGGGCACCTCATGGAACTGTCCATCCAGCCCAGGCCCAACTTACCAGGGGTGTTTAAAGGTCCAGGGGAGGGAACGCTGAAGTTCTGTGGGGTACGTGCTGTCACTGGGCTCTGGGAGGGCTGCGGTGAGGGGCTAGGCAGGAAGCTGCTGGGGGATGGGACAGGGCCGGAGCTGCAGCCAAGTGAAAGGAAGCAGGTTTGAGCCTGGGATACCAGGCATGTCAGCCCTGGGGCCAGATGGGAAGGACAGGGAGGATGGACATCCTTAGAAGCCTACCTGACATTGGAGTTGGGCTGTGAGCCAGGCTGTGGGGATGGCTGCGGAGGAGGGGGCATTGACTGTGGGGTCTGCACCTGCTGGCCAGGTGATGGTGAGGACAGCATGGTGAGGCTGCTCTGGCTGACCTGGAAGTGGAGAGACTTATTTGCCTCCATGATACACACTGCTACCTGCCTCCACATCCCTGGCCCAAAGCACCCAAAGGGTCATCCTCCCCCATCTCATCTACCTTTTCTTCTTCAAGATGCTACCCAGATATACACTCAGGCATATGCCACACACCTGGGTACAGAGCACATGGTGTCCAAGATACTGGAAGGAAAGCCAGGTAGGTAGCCTGGCTCCTTGGTGGGGAACCATGAGGACACCAAGCATCTAGACTGGGAAAGCTGTGGCCATGGCCTATTTCTCAGGCATAAAGGTGTAAGGAGGGAAGGCCTGGGAAGGCCTTATGATAACCCTGTCATATCCTACCTGACCTGGGACATTATCTGAAGGTCAGTATGCCCCCTGCTCTGCAGAACTGTAGAGACAGTCTTCCTGAGTGCTTCCGTGAGTCCTCCAGTCAGCTCCCTAGGCAGACTACTGCTCCAAGGAAAAGTGCAGATAATGCTGCCTCATCTGACCACTTAACTGGGGTGAGGTGGGCAATGAGCCCATATCCATGGGTGGCACTATATTGGCTCCTCAGTACCTCCGGTTAGAATGGTAGAGCCCATTCATAGGGGTGAGTGACTTGTGTCAGAGACCCCTGGGCTCAGAGCACTTGATGCCTCAGAGGCCTGGCAGAGTAGGGCTGCCCTCTGCTCCCAGTGCACATTCAGACAACAGAAACAGGTCAACCACCACTGCCAGCAGCAGGGACACCAATATCAACTGTAAACTCCAAGGACTAAAAACCACAGAGCCAAGGACAGGGGACAAGATTTATGACTCCCATCTTTCAGCAGAGAAGCATTAAGATGGAAGTTCTAAATGGGGAGGACAGCTGCCTGCTGGACCCTTGCCATACTGGGATCACCCTGATGGCTATACCAACTTTGGAGGTCCCATGTGTCCAAAGTAACATCTCCCACATCCCAGTCAATCACTGCACACCAAACAACCCCCCAAGCCTGCTTCCTATGGCTTGCAGGCCAGTCAGTTCTACAGGCTAACTTGGGGGCCTCTCCTAGTACACTCTATAGACACTGACACCCACCTGGGGCCACAGCTCCACAATTCCTTCCCATGCCATGGGATCGTTAGGTAAAAAATACTAAGTTCTTAGTTTCTCCAATTGCAAATAAGCACAGATCCTACCAGGAAAATGATACTTGCCTTCCTTGTCTGCCCACCCCCAGAGTGGCCAGGCCAAGGAGGGCATTAGGGCTGCCGTATGGCCTTTCAGTACCACCAACCAAGCTCACAGATTGATTGTTGCCTCCCTCCTGCTCATGAACTTCTCTACCATTCCAATGCATGCTCTAAGCAGCTGCCATATGCTAGGTAAGGCTGCCCCATGCCATGTGCACCACACACAAGGTATATCCCACAGGCTAGGTCAGATACCCCAAACCAAAGCTGTTGGCCCAATAGGATAGTGAGAGGTAGAACTGAGAGCTGTGGAGATGGCTCAGCGGTTAAGAGTGCATAGTGCTCTTACAGATGCCCCACATAGGGGAGCGCACAACCACCTGTAACTCTAGCTCCAGGGCATCCCAGGCCCTCTTCTGGTGTATGTAGATATTGTATTCATGTCACCTATCAGCACCCTCCCAAGCACACATATATACACATAATTAAAAATAAAAATAAAATCTTTTGGGAAAAAAAGAAGGTGGAATGGACAGACAATGCTGTCACTCTGTGATCTAGACACCCCTGCACAGCAGGGGATAAGAGAGCAAGCTTGGGCTTCTGGTTGCTGGGCCTAGTCAAATCAGTCTCTCCTCTGAGCAGAGAGATTCACCCTGATGTTAAGAATCTCAGAAATGGGACTTGGTTACTTTTGTCTGCAAATGCTGGGCTGAACAAATGTGAAGAGTTCTCCTATGCACAGGTAACACACTTGTACTGAAGTGTTATAAGTCCATGGGGGCCAAGGAAGGCACATGTTATACAGATTATGACATGCTTGCAATCAAACCACATGCTCACAAAGTCTCAGGATCAGAGAGTTCCATGCTGAGAACCAGATGGCACCAAAGAGTTTAGAAAACAAAGGATGAGGTCGATGCCCTGTCCTGCTACTCAGGCCCTCTCTGCGCAGGTTCTGGCTTCTCACATGTTCTCAAAAGACCCTAACCCTAACCCTAACCCTTCTCTTTCTCTGTCAGTAATGCTCACTTGAGTCCTGGCTGCAGCAGTTGTCCCCTGTTTACAGTCTAAACCTCAAGGTTTCTCTGTGGAGCAGTTAGGCATCTAGACGGCCTCATGGCAGGGCAGAGCCATGTCAGTGGGAAGACACCTCACAGTTCACGTGCCACCATAACGCCCAGACTTTAGGGCACAGGGCAAGGATCCAAGCAGCTGTCCCCAGACATTACCCAGTGGTCTAAGACATGAAGAATGTTGTTCATGGGGCATGAGAAGCAGAGAAGCCTCTGAAATAGAAAGAACTCCAAGACCCAGTCAAAGGGTCATGCCCTTGGGGACATAAGGGCCTCTTCCCTATTGTGAAGCCTGGACTCCAGGGTCATGTTTCTCCTCTTCCTAACATATCCTGGAAACTTCCTCATCAAGGTCTCTGGAATACAGACTGCACGCAAGTCTGTATACACACAAGGCTCTCCACCCAAACAGCAGCCCACTGAAGCTCATCAGCACCTCACTAGGGCTGGGACTCCCAGAAGACTCAGCACTTGCACTCTAGTTCCTACAGGACCTCTGGGTGCCCACCTAGTAACTGGGCCTCCCTGGGTTCTTTGACTGCCCCAGAGGGCAGGAGGCAAGGAGATTTCTAACAGGAAGGGAAACAAAGAGCACCCTTTCATGAGCAGGCAACCCCATGGCCTGGAAGAGCCTTCCAAGTATCAGTGCTGGGTAGCTCACAAATCACCAGACATACCTGGTTCAAGAAGTGACCCCTCCCGACACCCACCTCTAGACAGAAGTGACCTAGGAAGGGGAAGTGGTGTAGGAAAGAAGCAGAGTGGGGGTTGCTGGCTGCTGGGGCTCCTGTTATCAAGAAAGGAGCTTCATACAGGGAGGGAAAAACCCACTGTGCTCTCTCAGGTTATATTCTGTAGCTTAGGTATAGGTCTATCACAGCTGCTGGCATTCACCTCAAAGAAGAGCTTCTGACACTTTGCACATCTGTCACTTTCATGTTACAGGTGGGAACACTGGCAATCAGAGTGAGGTGATTTTGCTCAAGGTCATACAGCTAGAGGTCACAGTAGGAACCATCAATGCCTTAGCAATGACAGCACAATCTGCCTTCCTGAGAAAAGGCCTTGCACGACAGCCCAGTGGAACTATACAGCATGCTGGGTCAGAAGGTAGAATAGGCATGGAGTACAGAAGAAGTGGGAGGGTAGAGAGGCCACAGCTTGGGGACAGCTATGCAGAGAGGCTAATCCAAAGAGCTTGGTTCCACAGAGGGCCTTAGGACAGGCTGGCACTATGAATTCTACTCATCTCTGACCATTCACCCACATTTGTCTGACACAACTGCCCTTGCTCCTGGCCCAGTACTCATTGTGAAACATGGAGTCACTCTCCAAGACAGAGGAACACAGTCTTGTTGTGGTGTTGCCAGCTTACACTCACCAAGTGAGTAACAGGCAATGTGGATGCTCTTGTTAAGGCCTCTGCAAAGGCTGTAGGAAGGGAGATCCTTAAAGGAAGAGCTGAGAGATGGACAGCTGCACCGCAGCCAAAGGGGAAGCCTACAGGTTTCTCTCCACGACTTTCTCCCTTTAGTAGTCTCAGAGCTTCCATCCTCTCCTCGGAGCAGGCAAGCAAAAATGGGCCTGGCTTAAAAAAAAAAAAAAAAAACCAGGGTTCTGGGGTTCGAAGTTTTGATTCTCACGAAGCCCGCGCTCTACCAAGCTATCTCCCAAGTCTCTTATTTTGTCAACAGTGCTCATATGTATGTGAGACAGGTGGATCTCTGGGAATGCAAGGCCAGCCTGGTCTACATAGTGAGTTCCAGGACAGCTGGGGCTACAGGGAGACCCTGTCTCAAAAAGACAAAAAAAACAACAACAAAAAAACCCCAGCACTCCAGAAACAGAGGCAACTGGACCCTACAGATGGAGCCTAGAGTGGTCTACATAGGGGCTCCAAGCCAGCTGTGGCTGTGGGAAGACCCTGTCTCAAACAAACAAAAAACATCAACAAAAGCAGAACTTTGGCCGAGTTCCCTGTGGCCACAAATCCTCTGGCCGCAGTGCTCTGCTCCAGGACCTATTTCCTAAGGCTGCTGTGTTTGTCTTCAGCACACTAACCCAAACCTTCAAGGATATGTCCCCCAGCTGCCAGCACTAACAGGAGCAGATGATGGATAAATTGGGGTAACGTTAGCTGGCATCTTCCAGTCACTCAAGCCACAAAATCCAGTGAAGATGACCCGAAGTTCTCCATGCACTCTTCATTTTGCCTTTATTTTGCTTTTTCTCTTTCTTTCCTGCCCTCCAACTTCCTTACCTTCTGGAATTAGAAGTACTGTAGACCATAAGACCTATGTAGTTGGCACAATTTGGGGGCTACTCCACAGTAAGATATGGGGGCAAGATGAGGCCCAGGACAGAGCTTAGTCCATGGGGAGCCTACTGAGTAATGTGTGGAGGTTCTGCTAGCCAGGAGGAAGAGCAAGGTAAGTTAGAATAGCAACAAAAGCAGTGCTGAAGAGTTTCTATGAGAATCCTACTGATAGGATTTGAGCTCTGATCATCAACTTGTCACCTCCCAGCGCTTTTCCATTTGTGAAAAGTTAAATGCTGGAATTATGATGTGCTACAGGGAGAACCAACAAGATTCTAGACAAAAAGAACCTGTATCAAGGTCTGGCATTCATCACACCCTCAAAATGCTAGAGACCTTTAGTTTTTATAAAAAACCAGTCCTCCAAGTGTTGTTCAAGTCATTCACCCCACGATTCCACCTGTAAACCCACTGTGCACTGAGCCAGAGGCCTCTGCTACTTTCTTTAAGGGAGGCTATGCAAGTGTCCACACTGGTGGGGTGTCACTATACAAGGAAGACAGCTCCTGCATGTCTCAGGCAAGGACAGGGATGCCATCTGCAAGGATCACAGATGTACCTTCCTGTGAGGAAAAAGGAATTTTAAAGGTCTAGTGGCAATCTGAGGGTTTTTTTTTTTTTTTTTTTTTTTTTTTTTTTTTTTACAATAAACCCACTAAAACAAAAAGCCCTGCGATGAGAGAACATTAACAGCATTCTACTCTCATAATCTTTAAACAGTGTCTGGCATATGAATGCACATGAAAACATGGGAAGGGGTTGTCCAAAATTTTACATGGTAATATGAAACTCACTTCTGAGAAAAACATGAAGTGCACAGTGTAGTCTAGTGAGTTACTATGTGGTAAATTCACTCTGCCCAAGGAACTTCAGAGCACTGCAGGCCATCACAACTTTTGTCAAGATGCCTTTCTTCAGAGATCTGGGTTGTATTGTTCAACGACTATGAGTGCTTTAAGCGTAACTGGTACAACCGAAAACTGAACGCTTAGTTTTACTTTATTAGTTTAAATGTAATAGCTGTATACAATTAGGGCTATGGCATTAGCACAGCCCTAGAAAGCCAAACTATTTGCTTTTTTTTCTGAGAAAGGGTCTCAAGTAACTACTACAAGTACTGTGAGTACCACTATGCCTGATTTTATCAGTCCTAGGGATCAAACCCAGGGTCCTTGGGACATGCTGGGCAAGCCCTCTACTGATAGAACTACATCCTCAGTTACTCATCTTCTGTTTTATTGTACCATGAAGACAGGAGCAGTGTGAGAAAAAGCCACTCAAGAAACACTAGCAGGACTTGGCCTCAAACAAAAGCAACACTCAGTTTGGCACTCTGAAAGCCACCATGAAGGAAGTCACTGATGATGACTGGTATGCTTTACAGAGGCGCTCAGTGGAACCCCAAGCTCCGGGGCCAAGCCCTGTGTGCAGCCCGGCCCGTAAATACCTGTGCTGTGGGCTGTCCGCCCAAAGAGATGGAGCTTGCCAGGCCAGCAGACATGGTGGAGGTGGGTGGGAACCGGGCTCTTATGTGCATCCCGCCTTGGGCCAAGGCTTCAGCAATCATCTTTGAGGACAGAGGGACAACAGACAAGGTGATCGCAACAAGAACTGCAGTGCATGGCAAGTGGTGGGTATGTGCAGCCTCATAGGGTGGGCCACAGAGGTGAGGTGCCTTCAGTTGACCCAGGTGGGGGAGGCTTGAGGACATGTTCTGACATCTCTAAGCTCAACTAGGCCAGAAATCTAGGGTTGCCAAGAATGTAAGCCAGGCCCTGCTATTCTACTGGCTGCAATCCTTTGTTGGTTGTCTTGGACACAACACTGAACTGCAGGTGGATCAGATCCTATAGCCTGTGAAATGTCACAGCCAAGCTGCTCAGGCAGCACTTCTGGGAGACCAATCTCTCAGAACAAGCTTGGAAAGAATATAGGTCACCAAGGCTTTCTAAGAGGAAGCTCAAACATCACTAAAGTGAAAACCAACTCACCAGAGCATTCCCTCCAGAGGGACACCTGGAGCCCAAGTCACCTATTCCTCTTAGCCTCTTGGGGCTGCTGGTTCTGGGGTACCGAGGAACTTGGGGGGGTGGCAGAAGAGCCTGAGCTCCTTCTGGGGGTGTCCTCTCTTATAATGAAGGGCTCTTCACAGAACATCAAAGAGTCAGGAGTTCCAGAACCAGCCAGGACTTTTTCCTTGGTCAACTTTTACTTCTGGATTCATATAGACAGCAAGGGCAAGCTAGCATCATCGTGGCCTTGGGGCTAGCCTCCCTTATACTCTGTGCTCTGAAGTGGGGAAATGAAGCCCAATCAAGTTCCTGGAAAACAGTGTCTACATGCACTCAGAATGTCATAAACAAGAACATAGTCTGGTTCAGAAAGAAAATAGAGGTATTCCACACAAAAAAAGGAAACACTAGGATGAGAGGATCACTTCAGGCCAGGAGTTCAAAATTAGCCTGGTGTAATATGGGAAGACACTGTCTCAAAAAAACCCCCTCCAAACTATCAAATCCTGTGAGGCTATGAGTTGGGCTACCAGATCAAGATGGCATTGCAGATGATTCAATTTGTGTAGCAAGCAAGAGATGTCAGAGACAAGGCTCCAAACATAACACGGGCCTATGAGGACCCCTGTGGCATCACACAAAGGGCTCATGTTCAAACACATTGGGTACATGCAGTAGGCACCACAGAAGACTCCAACCAGAACCTTCTAGCAGCTCAGGAAAGGTGCAGCGCTCACCATTTCTGCAGCCAGACCAACAAATCATGCTCCGGGGGATGGGGTGGAGCATGGTCCTGACAGTTCCTGTTAAAACATGGGCAAGGGGCTGGAGAGATGGCTCTGTGGTTAAGAGCACCGACTGCTCTTGCAGAGGACCTGAGTTTGATTCCTAGAACCCATATGGCAGCTAACAACCATCTGGAACTCCAGTTCCAGGGGAACCCAATGCCCTCTTCTAACCTCCAAAGGCATTGCATGACACAGGTGCACTTACACATGTGTAGGCAATACACTCATACACACAAAAATAAAAATATTAAAAAAAAATTAAAACACAGGCATTGTCCCAAACAGCCCATCCTCCCCACCCCCATAGGCCACTGGTAGACACAAAGGGCTGGGCTTGCAAGGGCCCTCTGCCAATACTGAATTTGAGGGAAGAGACAAAGGCACTTATTCCAGGGCTCTTGATAGAACTGAGGGGGAGGTCCATTCACAACCAGCAGTTACAGTATCATCTGTAGCACTACTTCTAGAAGAGATAGGAGAGAAGATCTAGAAGGAAGCCAGGTGATAGGAGAGGTGCAAACTCTTCTCCAGGAAAAAGAAAAGCAGTAAGGAAGAAAATGCTTAAGTCTCCTTGCCCATGACTGGTTTTCTTATGAAGAACTTCTGACAAGGAAAGCTTTCTTCAATTAGAAACCCCAAGGCAAACCACACTGGCAATGTTCATAGGATCAGATGACCTGCCATCAACCATAACTCACTGTCAAGTGATGATGCCATTTCTCTACTCTCAATACACCGCTACCTGGAAAGGAATCCCAATGAAGACAAGGGCAGTTGGCTTGGTTTCCAGCTGTGGCTACTGTGCAGGAGTGCTGGACACAGGTGTCCTCTGGGTCAAGGATCGGTCAAAGAGCAACTGAAAAGTTTGCTATATCACATGCATATATATGACAGATGTGACATATTTGGTGCAATTCTCTGTCACCTGTAAATTACCACTAAGTTTTGTATACTAGAAGAACAGAAGGTTAAAAGACAAAAGTATAAGGATTACTTGAAAATAAAGGACATTCTGATCTGGTTTTACTACTGGACCCCAGGAAATCCCACTGCAGGTGATGTCATTTCTCTCAGCAGCATGAGTAATATTAGATAAGAGAGGCAAACAAAAGGCTGGAGACACGGCTCAGAGGTTAAGAGCACTGGCTGCTCTTGCAGAGGACCCAGGTTCAATTCGCAGCACCTACATCATGGCTAACAACCGCCCATAAACTCCAGTTCCAGGGGATCCGACACTCTCTTCTGACCTCCTCAGGCATTGCATGACACAGGTACACTTACAAAACATAAAGGCAATACACTCACACATATAAAATAAAAATAATCATTTTTTTAAAAGAGGCAAACAAACAGGACAGGACTGACTGATCCTTCCAGAACACTTATCCCAGTTGAGGAGCACAGCCTCTGTCACCATATCCAGCACCACACCTGTCACCCTGGCATTGGCTCTACAGGGCATCTCTGATGCTCTGAGGACACACTCCAGATGAGGCATGGAAGGCTGTCCACTTGGGCCTCTCATGCCAGTGACTTTCCCAGGGCTGGTGGCCTGTTCTGTGGTGTGTGGCAGTTCATATGCAGAAAACTGCAACATGTGGATTCTGTATCCTGACATCAAATGTGTGAGCACCATACAGGGAATTTTAATTTACATCTTTGAGCTCCTGATTAGATGACTGGTTGCCATGATTCAAGGGCCATCAAAGCAACCCTGTGAATTGCTTCTGAGAAGCTGCAAACTTCTGAGTCTACAGACTGAGTCCAGAACTTGGCCATGCACTGGTAAATCACCTTCAGAGCCATGGAAAAGGTAATTCGTTTTTCTTGGTCTTCTTTGTTTTTTTGAGACAGGATCTCACTTATGTAGGCTTGGCTAGCCTCAAACTAGCCAAGAGATCCACAGAGATCCACCTACCTCTCTGCCTCCTGACTGCTAAGATTAAAGACATGTGCCACCATACCTGGCTGAAGGCAATTCTTAGGAACAGCAGCAGGAATATTGTTCAGCCACTCAAAGACTACCCAGGGCTTTCTAGCAGCAGGATGATCCTCTTTGTATCTGGAATGTCGCCTATACCTTATTAAAAACTTGGTCCTCAGGGCTGGAGAGATGGTTCAGCAGTTAAGAGGGCTGGCTACCGTTGCAGAGGACCTGGGTTTGATTCCCAGCTCTCACATGGTGGCTAACAACCATCCAAACTCCAGTTCCAGAGAATCTGAAGCCCTCTTCTGACCTCTGCAGACACTGCATGACATGGATGCACTTACATACATACAGGCAATACACTCATACACAAAAAATAAAAGTAATAGCTGGGTGTGGTGGTGCATGCCTTTAATACCAGTACTTGGGAGGCAGAGGCAGGTGGATCTCTGTGAGTTTGAGGCCAGCCTGGTCTACATAGTAAGTTCTAGAACAGCTGGGGCTACAGGGAGACCCTGTCTCAAAAAGACAAAAAAAACCCACAAAAAACAAAACACCCCCCCAAAAAAACCTTGATCTTGAGCTGGGGATGTGGTTCAGTGGTAAAGTACTTGCTAACATAATCAAGGGTCAACATCCTCAAGACTACAAAAAAATACATATTTTAAAGCTTAGTCCTTAGGCTGGCACCACTGGAAGGTGGTTGAAACTTTAATAAGAGGCAAGGTCTTGACTTTGGGTCAGTGGTGGGGGTATATGTGTGATGGTTAGTGTTAACTGCCAATTTGATGGGATCTAGAATCACCCTAGGAGACAAACCTTCAGTATACCTGTGAGGGGATTAGCTTGCTTAGGTTAATTGAGGTGGGAAGATCTGTCTGTTGTGGGTGGCACCATTCTCTGAGATGAGGTCCTGAACTACACACCCAGGAGAAAATAATCTGAGTGCATGCATTCATTGTTCTCTGCTTCTTGACTGCAGATGCAAATTGACCAGCTGCCTCAAGCACCTGCCACCTTCACTTCCCTGACATGATGTACCATGAATCAGGAAGTAAAATAAATCCTTTCTCATTTAGTTTCTTTTGGCAGAGTATTTTATTATAGCAATAGAAAAAGTAACTAATGTGGGGTATGACCTTGGAGACATAATCACTGGTCTCTTCCTCTCTCTTTTACTTCCTGAGCTCAACCACATGCTCCCTGTCAAAATGTGCTGCCTTGACACAGGCCCAAAAGCAATGGGGTCATCAATCATGGACTGAAACCTCCAAAACTGTGAGCCAAAATAATCCTTTCCTCTTGTGCTGGATAGTGTTAGTGTCAACTTGACACACCTGGGTTGAGGGGGTCTCAATTGGGGAATTGTTTCCATTGGACTGGACTGTGGCAATGTCTGTGGGCCATCTTCTTGATTACTGAGTGATGTGGAAGGGCCCAGCCCACTGTGAGTGTGCCACCCCTGGGCTGGTGGGCCTATGTTATATAAGAAAGCAGGTTGAGCGGGGGCCAGAGGAGCAAGCTTATCCATGACCTGTGCTCCAGCTCCTGCCTCTAGGTTCCTGCCCTGAGCTCCTACCTTGGGCTCCCTCAGTGATAAACTGTGACCAAGGAGATGTACACCAAATAAACCATTTCCTTCCCAAGTTGGTATTGGTCAGAGTGCTTTGTCACAACAGTTGAAGGCAAACTAGAACACCTCTATACACTGGTTGTCTCAGGTATTTTGTTATAGTAACAGAAAACCAACTAATACACAGGAGAGCATTTCAGTTCTACACTAATCCCAGAGGTGGAGGTAGGAGGACCAGAAATTCAAGGTCATCCTCAACCACATAGGAAGTTCAGGGCCAGTTCAGGTTACATTAAGACCCAGTCTCAGGGCTGTAGAGATGGCTCAGCAGTTAAGAGCACTGACTGCTCTTGCAGAGCACCCAGGTTCGATTCCCAGCATCCACATGGCAGTTATGTACCATCCTTAACTCCAGTTCCAGGGGAATCTGAAGCCCTCTTCTGACCTCTGAGGCATTGCATAACACAGGTGCACTCACTTACATGCAGGCAACACACATTAAAAATTAAATAAATAAAAATAAAAAATAGCCGGGCATGGTGGTGCACACCTTTAATCCCAGCAGAGGCAGAGGCAGGCAGATCTCTGTGAGATTGAGGCCAGCCTGGTCTCCATGGTGAGTTCTAGACCAGCTGGGGCTACAGAAAGACCCTGTCTCAAAAACAAAAACAAAGACACAAAACAAAACCCATCTAAAGATGCGCTTGTCCTGGTGTCTTGTCTTTTTCCTAACCTTCACACACACACATCTGCATGGAGAGTATAACTTCAGTGATGTGAGAGAACTAGAAAAGACACCACAGTTTCCCATCTGGCTACTTCTTTTGCATCTTGCTCCATTCTCTTACCTTCTACAGTTACCACACCTTGGTTAGGATTCACAAATCAGAGCACTGCAGCCTTGCCTGGCCCACTGTAGCAAACTGGATTTCAGGAGGGCCTGCCATGCATACCCAAGCCACACCCTTGTCCCCCCCATTGTGAAAACAATGAGCCGGGTATGGTGGTACACGCCTTTAATCCCAGCAGAGGCAGGTGGATCTCTGTGGATCTCCATAGCAAATTCAGGCCAGCTGGGGCTACAGGGAGACCCTGTCTCAAAAAGACCAAAAAAAAAAACCTGACGCGTGCGCATACGCACACACGCACACACGCACACACGCACACACACACACACACACACACACACAAATCCAGTCCCATAAAACTGTGTCATGCTAAGTTCAAGGACCAAAAGAAAACCAGCAGCAGTGGCATTGAATCTTGAGAAGCAGAATTCAGGTGCATCCCACCTGATCCTGGACTTCAAGAACCTCTGAGGTTCTCTCTGCCGCCCACATTTGGGTGTGACACTGCATCAGAAACAAGGCCCAAGACACTGCAGGCCAGGCACAATAAGCTTCTTAAAATACTGAAGGCACAGTCTTTAAAAAAAAAAAAGAAAAATTTCAAACCCATGAGGAAATAAACCAAAAGGGTGATCACCCTCCAAACTACTAGAGATATGACAATTTCTCATAGTCCCTACCTGATCAGGAAAGGACCTATGCCTACCATGACCTGCACTTGCCAATGATCTCCCACTAAAGTGGGAGGGACACTGACAACCAAGCTGTGTGCTCCGTGTAACTATGCTGATGGCTGGCCATACTCTCAGGCAGGCCTCTACCAGAAGCAGGAGCAAGAAATAGAAGGAAGAACTGCACCATGCATAGAAGATTGGTGTGAAGCACTAAGTATGTACAGCCATACCCTGCTTCTGGTAGTTGACAAGACACCAACAAAGCAAGCAACAGGATATATACATCCTCCAGCAAGAAATCAGAACAGGCCCACGCCAGTAACATTTGCTATCTTTTCATGGCTGTTTGCTTTCCAAATGTCAAGAGAGGGATGAAAAAGCCTATGGGCTGGGCCAGAGATGTAGAGGTTTATATGAAGTAGGCCCCAGGTCAGTGGAGAGAAGATCATGAAGAGCAAGGGCAATGGTTTCCACTGGCAGGGCAGTCACTATGTGTCACCACTGTGCCGACTATAAGCATGCCACACCCCTCCTTTGCACCAAGAGATCAAGAGGAAGGCATCCCCTGAGGCCATGGCTGAGACACAGTAGTGATCACAGAGATGATTAACCTCCAGGGATGACTAACCTCACAGGGTGGTCAGCCTCCCGAAGCCACACATAGGAAATCCACAATGTGTTTTTACACAAGACTACAATGGAGAATGTAGGTGACATGAGAAACCTCAGCCCAGGTCACTAGATGCAGTGACCAGAAGACCTCTCCTCAGGCAGCATCCAAGATGTGAGTAATACAGTGGGGGCGGGGGGCGGCGGCAGGAAAAGCTATCACTGAGCCCTCCTCCCCAGTGTAAAATGATGTCTGGCACATCATGATGTACCTGACCCACAATCTATGCACTCTGCCTAATGAGCTCAGTAGACTCATGAACCAGCCTGTGCAGGCCTCCAGAGAGCATAAAGTACAATCACAGCACTACCTGTGAGTGGGATCCAGCAAGAGCCTCATCATAACACCTAGCTAAACTCTGTGTCAGGACTCTCGGTGTGTCCACCGACAAGTAGACACAGGGAGAATTGAGGCCATGACTAGATGTGTCCCCACACTGTGGCCAGCAAGAAGGTAAGGCAGGTTTTTGAGACACCTCATAGGGATCCTAGATACTCAATTCCCCAGACACTAAAAGCTAGCCAAGGCCTCCTGCATATTGTCACCCCGCTGGCGTCTGATATGCAGAAAAATGGGTATGAGCTGGTCAGTGACAGAGTACACACTTTCTCCACATAGCGCCCAAGTCCCCGAGGGTGGGGAAAGTCCAGGGTGCTTTCTCCCTGTTCCTGCTGTAGCACATGCCAGTGCATGGTTTCTGGAGCCAGGTATCTACCACTGTACCTGTCATCTTCCACGTTCTAAAAGGCTGCCTTCCATCTCAGCCAGCTGCACACAAAAGCTCCAGTGGAAGGTGAGGTAGAATACAACTTTAAAGCTCTCTTCTCTAAAGCTCCCCCTCCAAGTGGTATTAAAGGAGGGAAGACCAGGGTGCCCAAGGAAAAATAAGAACCACAAACAATATGCAGCTAGTAAGTCCCAGTTATAACCACGCCAAGCCAGCCACCCTGAGGATCTCAGGGTGGGGTGAGGCGGTATCTCAGAATAAAAGATTCTTATGCTTTACCAACTTAGCCACTACTCCAACCAGGACCCTCATAGTAGAGCTTTATGCATGGGTAGACATTCACTTGCTAGTGACTAAAGAAACCCTGGGCTCCCAAGGCCCTCACCTGGACGCCGGGAGCTACCATCTGGGCAGCCTGTGCTGTCTGCACTGCCGCCTGCTGCTGCACCTGGGGCTGCACTTGCTGAACCTGAGGCTGCACTTGCGGCTGCTGGACCACCATCGGAGCACGGACCTTGAAGGAGGAAGGAAAAAGGAACTTGGAACAACCTGGGGTAGAGGGCAGAGCATCTACTACTTATGTGGGAGCTTTAAGAATAGAGCTTTTGGGAAGAGTGAGATGCCTCAGCAGGTAAAGGTGCCTGATGACCTGAGTTTGATCCCTGGGATACACATGGTATGGGAGAAGAAAAAGACTACTCCTAAGTTGTCCTCTGACCTCCACACATGCATTATGGCACACATAAGCCCACATGCACATACAAATTTTTTTTTTTAAAGGGGTTTACCCTTGAGATGGGGGGATGCGATTGTCATGACGCCACAGGCTATGATGTGCTATATCCCATAAGGTCATCAGAAATATCCCATACCAGCATGGCTCTGAGTTGGCAAAGCCAAGCCCTACATCTCCCAATTCTGGCAAGAATAAACATAGCCCTCCCATGCACACCAACTAGAATTGCAAGAAGTAAGTTTCCAAAGCTGAGCACACAGCCCAGCCCTCTCAGTCCCTAGGAGCCTCACTCAGAGCCCAGACTCCATGAAGGAAACCAGGCTGGATGGCTAGCAACAGCCTTAGCTAGAAAGATGACCTTGGGCAATAGAAGACATGTGGGACTAGTACATGGAGATACCTCTACAGGGACAGGGCAGGTCTTGGCCAGACCCACAAGGGAGCTTCATCTTGAATATCTTCAAGCTACCAGGCCCAATCCTAGCAAACACCCCACCAAAGAGTGCATGAAGGTTCTGGTCCAAGCGCATTGGCTCCAGGTAATAGGTTAGTGTCGGTATCTGTAACTCACAACCCTCCCAGCCTGCCTCTTCTTTACCCTGATACTCAGTTGTGGTAAGGCCCCTGTCCCCATATCACTCAATGAAACACAAGTAGAAAAGGCCACAAAAACCAAGGGACTGAAAAGATGTTAACTCTTTTCACAGTTACTGGTTTTGGTGGAAACATTCTATCCTCTGTGTATGTCATAAGTGGGACTTATATAGAGATGTACAATGAGGCTGTAATAATTACATTTTATTTTATTATTATTGTTACTATTATTTTGGTCTTTTGGAGACAGGGTCTCCCTGTAGCCCCACCTGGCCTGGAACTCCCTATGTAGACCAGGATGGTCTTGAACTCACAGAGATCCACCTGCCTCTGCCTCCCAAGTGCTGGGATCAAAGATGTGTACCATTAATCCCAGCTTACAATTACGTTTTATATGAATGTCTCTTAGAAATACAGTAAGGCTTAAAGATCTTGGCTCAGTGCTGGGGATGAAGGCTCAGTGCTTGGGAAGGAAGCTCAGTGACAGATCACATACTTAGTTTGCATGAGGCTCTCAGATTCAATCTCCAGCACCCAATAAAAACAAAAACAAAACATAATGGCTCAGAATAAAACTCCAAGAGGTTAGGTAAACCACCATGGACAGCTGATGATGGATACAACACATCCTCCCACATGGCAAGATTACATCTTAACCTAATCGTGTGCCATCAGACATGCCACAGACACTGCTGAAATCAGTCATTTAGGTTTGAAGATGTAACATCCTTGCACAATGTGTGAGAATAACTCTCAGACACTTCCTCACTGCCTAGAGCTGCTATGAAGCTAGATGTGCGGATTGGCATAGGAAGGGGGCCTATACTCAGTACATTAAGAAAAGGACATGCTATCTACATCTGAAGGGCCCCAGAAACTGCTGCCCTCAGGACTGCTGGCCACATACAACACCATAAGAGATGTAAATGCTTTACCATTGGCCTTAGGTACTCACAAATTTCAGCTGCTGTGGCTGCTGGGCAGCATACAACATTGGTCCAGGGAGGGCTTGTGCTTGTGATACCAAAGGCTGGCTTTGTGACTGTGGTGGAAGTTGTGGTGGTTGGTTCTGAGCAACTGGGGGCTGCTGGGCCTGAGCCGGTGGCTGGTGATGCTGTGAATGATGCATCTGTGGCAGCTGCTGGGGCAGGGCCTGGGAAGGGGGAGGCTGTGGCTGCTGCATTGGTGGCTGTTGTATTGGTGGCTGGGTCTGTAAAGCCTGTTGTTGCTGCTGTTGCAGCTGCAACTGTGCCATCCGTTGTAGCTGCTGCTGTTGCTGCTGTATCTGGGGACAGAATAATAATACTCAGTTTCCATTCATCCACCTCTGGGGCACCTTGATCCCAGGACACCTGGGGGACATAAGCACAGCCTTTGGGGAAGTCTACCTGGCTGACCTCTCATACTGGGAAGGGGACCATGTCAAACAGAAGGACTCAGAGCCCTTGAGCCAACTGTAGCTGTGTTCTAGACACTAAAGACAAACCAAGTTTGTGCTTGTGCCCTGACCACTGAAGGCTGGTCTACAGCTAGGCTGATTCAAATAAAATAGGTTCATGGAAGATTCAGGAAGAGGGAAGACTAGGTATACAGTAAGTAGGGAAGAAGCTCAAGCAATTGCAGGTGTCTGTAACCGCTTCAGAGAAATTGTTTGTCAGTAGTATTAACCTCATGAGGATGGGCCATAAGGAACATATGTAGGGCTAAAGATTAACAGCTGGCTTTGAAAAGGAGCTTCCAAAGCCAGAGGAGACCAGCAGGTTGAGGAAGCTCCTTTGGGGCTTTCCTCCCTCAATCAACCCTTGTGAGGAGGAGGATGTCTAGATTCCGAATGCAAACCACAGGAGAACCAAAGAGCTCTAACCAGTATGGCTTCTTATGTGACACATCACTGCCCTACACAATACCAGCTGGCAACTGCCTAATTCTGTGCCCAGACATAAGACAAAACCAAACAGAACTGTGTGTGTCCTCAAAAGAAGTGTGTTAACAACACAGCTCAAACACACCTGAGTCCTGGAGTGTCCGCCTCCTTTTTTGCTTTCGTTAGCTTTTATGTACTGCTTACAGCCCAAGACACAATGCAGGCCTGTAGTGTAGGGTTGGGAGCCTATGTAAGAGGGCCTCCTCCTATAATTTCAATCCCTTCCTCCCAAGCTAGGTTCTACTCTTCCCACCTGTTAGGAAACCCAAGGGGGAGGGTCAGCTAGGCCCTGTACCCAGCACTGTAGCCAATATACCTGACTCCAGGTTCAAGAACTACAGAAGGGAGGCCCAGTAAAGGAGCAGAGGAACCTAGTACCTGCTGCTGGTTTTGGTGATGCAACTTAATCAGGTGTTGCTGCTGCTGCTGCTGGAGTTGCTGTTGTTGTACCACTGCTTGAAACTGCTGCTGCATGGCACTCTGCTGTGCTTGGAACTGCTGCTGCTGCTGTTGTTGTTGCTGCTGTTGTTGCTGCTGCAATGCTGCCTGCTGCTGCTGGAACTGTTGTTGTTGTTGCTGCTGCTGCTGCTGCTGCTGCAATGCCTGGAGCTGCAGCTGAGCTGGAGAGGACACCCAGGCTTAGACTATGTTGCTCTGCAGGTGCCCCAGAGTTACATGGCAAATGAGGCAGGCAGCAATAGGCCATGGCCGACTGCCAAGGCTGCCACTGGCATAAACACTCTACTTACTAGAAAGACACATCAAGTAGGAAGTGGCATTTCTGTAGATTATGGAACTTATTATCCTGAATTAATCTCTAACAATCAAAGAGAAAATAAAAGGGCCAAGTCAGCCTTTTGGATGGACAAGCTACCCAGCCTTTGGAAACCAGAAATCTATTTTTGTCTAAGGATTTGCCTATTCTGAATATTTCATACAAATGGTACCAGTCTGTGCTTTCTCCTCTTAGATAGTATTTACAAAGTTCACTCAAGACTGTGAAAGGTTATCAGCTTTATTGGTATTATTTTTATTAAGTAATATTCTACTGTATTCCCACATTGTGTCTATTCATTCATCAAATGGGGGCATTTGAGTTGCTTCCATGTTTGAGCTATGGTGAATACTAATATGAATAGTCACCTTATGAGATTATTTTTGTGGTGAGACTTCACCTAGAGTAATGACAATGTTCTAAAGCTGGTTGAGGTGGTATCTGTTAAACTGTGAATATACCCCAAACCACTAATAGTGCATTTTGAATGAGTGAATGACATGTTAACATGAATTGTATTTCATTGGGTATGGTGATACAGGCCTTTAATCCCAGCACTTGGGAGATAGAGGCAGTTGGATTTCTGCAAGATTGACACCAGGCTGAGATGGTCTACATAGTGAGTTCCAGGCCAGCCGGGACTACACAGTGCGCTGTCTCAATCCACACCCCCAAAATAATATTTCAATAAAGCTACTAGACACTGAACAGTTCCAATACTATAAGCATCCCTCAACTGCACCTTCCTTCAACAACCTCACCTCTTAAGACCTGGCAACCATACTGCCTTCCACTTCTAAAACTATCGTTTCAAAATTTCATACAATAGTAATTTTTTAACTTTTATTTATTTTTATGCATATGAGTGTTTTGCCTGTATGTATGTAAGTGCACCACGTGTATGCAGTGCCCACAGAGGCCAGAAGGGATCCCCTGGAACTTGAGTTATAGGCAGTTGTTAGCTGCCATATGGGTGCTAGGAACCAAACCCAGGTCCTCTGCAAGAACAGTCAGTGCCCTTAAGCACTGAGACATCTCTCTAGCCCCACAACAGTGTTTTTAAAATGGCCCTGAGTTTGATCCCTAGGCCCTACATACTGAAAGGGAAGAACTGACTCCCAAAAATTGTTCTCTGACCTATACATATACACTGTGGAATATGCATACCCCAACAAATATAAATAAATAAATAAATGTAATTTTATGTTACATATAAACAGACCATATAGTATATGAAGCCTTTGGGAATGGCTCTTATTCACCCACATAATTCTCTAGTGACCCAGGTGTGATGATTCAATAGTTCCTTCCATTGCCATATAGTATTTCATAGTATGGGTATCTCCTAGTGTGATTATTCACATAATCCAAGATCTGAGGTGACAGAAGAGTCAGGCTATTACAAATAAACCTATGAAGGTTTGCACATGGAGTTTTTATGGAAAATTTCATTCCTTTGGGACAAATGCCCAAGAGTGTGATACATGTTTCGTTTTTTACTACAATTTTTTTTTGTGTGTCTTTTTGAGACAGGGTCTCCCTGTAGCCCCAGCTGGCCTGGAACTTACTATGTAGGCCAGGCTGGCCTTGAACTCACAGAGATCCGCCTGCCTCTGCCTCCCAAGTGCTGGGATTAAAGGCATGTGCCACCATGCCTGGCCCTACAATTTATTTTTATGTATATGTGTGTTTATTTGTATGAGTGTATGCCACATTATGTGTCGGTACCCACAGAAGCCAGATGAGGGTTGTCAGATCCCCTGGAACTGGAGTTATAGGCAATTATGAGCCACCCAACATGGGTACTGAGAACCAAACACAGGCCTCTGAAAGAATAGGAAGCACTTTAAAAAAAAAATATTTTATTTATTATTTTTATTTTATATGTATGAGTGTATTGCCTGGATGTGAGTGCACCCACGCTGTGCAATGCCGTGGCGGTCAGAAGAGGGCTTCAGATTCCCCTGGAACTGGAGTTAAGGACGGTTTTAGCTGCCATGTTGGTGCTGGGAATCGAACCCAGGTCCTTACAAGAGCAGTCAGTGCTCTCAACTGCTGAGCCATCTCTCCAGCCCCAGTAAGCACTTTAAAAAAAAAATGCTTTTATTGGAGCTGGGTATGGTGACACATGCCTCTCAGAAAGAAACAAAAAATTTTTTATTGAATTTCTGTGTATTTCATACAGAACATCTTAATCATCTTGAAAGAGAGTGCCCCTCAGACCCCCTCCCTATCCTCTGAGAAACAGCTGCCCTCCACCTAACTCTGGAAAACCCCTTCATTGTTCAAACCCTTTCCTGGTATCTGTTTATGATTTCTATGGAAATGGTCTGGGGCAAAAGAGATAGATCGTTCTGCCCCAGGTGGGCTAGCCAATGACAGTATACTTGATACATCTGTGTATGGTCTCTATGGAAATAATCCAGGGCAGAAGAAAAAGAACATTTTGCCCCAGGTAAGACAGCCAATGGCTGTATAGGTAAAGTCTCTGAAAATCAGCCCTAGATTGTTCCAATCCTTTCCTGGTTATTCTGTGTATAGTTTCTATGGACAGCCCCTGCTTTGTGGTTTTTGTGGTTTTTCTGCTTAAAAGCCCTGTGTTTTCACTGTTAAGGGTCGCAGCACAGCTCCTGAGACTTATCTGCATCCCCAACTGGTTGGTTCCAATAAAGCACTCCTTTTTGCTGAGACTCAGTGTCTGAGAGGTCAATTTAGGGAATTTTATGGACTCTTAACAATCTTTACATCCCCTTCTCCATTGCCCCCTCCCATATACTGCCCCCCACACATGCTGTCATTTGTGTTAAGGCCTATCATGTCAAGTTAGTGTCCACAGATGTTCCTCAGTGAAAATTCATCCACTGAGGTCTAATGAGCCCATCTAGAGTCCTTTAAGATCAGCTTCCCTTTAAGATCAGCTCTTCCTCACCCAGCAGTAATCAGCTGCCAATAATTCAACTAAGATTGAGGCCTGCTGTCTATTTCCATAGTTCTCTGCTGGGTTTTTGTCTGCTTGAGTATGCATGGGTCTTGTGCATGTTGACACCATTGTTGTAGGTTCCAATGAGTCTCTAAGATCTATGACCTCTCCAGCTATGTGTTTTTGGCTAGGTTTATAGTACCACATATGAGTTTCCTCCCACTGAGTGGGCTTTAAGTCCAATTAGGTAGCTGTTGATCACTCCCGAGATAAAAGAGCCACTACTGGACCAATGTTGTTTACTATGCTGGTCACTGATGTGGTTTTTAGGCCTTGTAGTTGAACCATTGATTGATGTTCTCCCTTACCAGCTTGTGTAATGCTCTCCAAAGCTATGAGAGCTAGCCTTCAGGGCAGGTGGCTTCCAGGTCAGTTTCAACTTCATTGCTCCAAATCCTGTGTCTGAAGTTATGTCCTGTCTTCAGCAATGGGGTCTTACCTTCAAGTTCTGGGAGGCAATCAAGGGCTGTGGCAATAGCCTCTGTAATTTTGGGAGTCTCGGACTATCCTGGCCGACAACTCAAAGTTGTTTCTCCTATCTGGAACTGTTTCCTGTTCTGTAGTCTTCAGCTATACTCATAGACTCATGGAGGGATATTGCTATGTGTAATTCTTCAGGAGGTTTTTGGACTAATATGATTCCCTCTGGGTTTTTCTTTTTCTTTTTGGTCTTTTTGAGACAGGGTCTCCCTATAGCCCCAGCTGGCCTGGAACTCACTATGTAGACCAAGCTGGCCTTGAACTCACAGAGATCTGCCTGCCTCTGCCTCCCAAGTGCTGGGATTAAAGGCGTGCACCACCACACCTGGCTCCCTCTGGGTTTTTCTTTATACTAGTTAGGCATTATTTATCTCTCCTTTCTTTCTTCCTGTGTTATCCCCCCCACACCATTTAAAGTATCCCCATTTCCCCCATTTCTTCCTTGATAATTCCTGTCTGCTATGGTCCCATCTCTCTTGAGCTCCTTCTTCCCCTTTATCCCCATAGTTGAATAGGAAGCACTCTTAACCTCTGCATTATCTTTCTAGCTCTTATATACTTAAATTTTAAAGAACTGTTTTGCATTCCCACCTGAAATACAGGAGTGACTCAGTTTCTCCATCACAAGAACTTAATGTTGTCACAAGTTAATTTTATTTATTTTAAAATTTATTTTAGCCATTCTGGGTAGGTGTGAGAACTCTAATTTATCTTTGTGGTACAGACTTCGAACACAGTTTTGACACTCAGAAAATAGTGAACAACAACAATAATCTGAAATTGAGACTTACTTCATGGTTATTTTCATAAACATATTTGTTTCATCCTAATCTTAGATTAAGTTATTTATTACTTTTTTTCTAATGTGTCAATTTTGGTCTGCTTAACTAGCAATTACAATGGAACTGAGGTAGCTATCTAATAAATTATCTTCTATTTCATACCTTTCCAGTATGTATGCATGTTTCCTAAAGAATAATACAACTATACTAATCCTTTGCATTGCCATTCAATATCACATTCTCTGTCTTTTATTAGAAAAGCTTGGGGCTGGAGAGGTGGCTCAGTGGTTAAGAGCACTTGCAGAGAACTCAAATTCAATTACCAGCACCCATGCTGTGCAGTTCACGACTGCCTGTTAACTCCAGTTCCAAGGGATCTAGCACCTTCTTCTGGCCTCTGCAGGTCCCCCCCCCTCCAGAATACACTCACGGACACATATAAATTTATAAAAAACTATTAAAAAAAGAAAATTGTAGTCATCTGATTATGATTACTTATTTTCAACCTATTTCTAGTTGTCTCCCTTTCTCCTCCCCAATCCTGAGTTGAAAACCCAGGCTGTGAAAGGTAGACAAGCCCTCTTACCACTGAGCTGTTTCCTTGTCTCTCATTTTTCTAAGTTCTGTCTTTTTCTAAAAGATGTACTTTATTTTAATTATGTCGGGGAGAGGGGTAAGGCACATGAGTGTAGGTGCCTGAAGAGGCCAGAGGCATCAGATCCCCTGAACCTGGCTTTACAAGGGGTTGTAGGCTACTCAGTGTGAGTGCTGGGAACCAACCTTGGGTCCTCTTCAAGAGCTGTACATACTCTTAACTGCTGAGCCATCATTCCAGCCTGTTTTTTTTCCTAATTAATTGGGTTTTTTTAGATAATTGTATTAGACTTTATATATGTTGTCTGGATTGTTTGTTGCTTTTATTCTTATTATATTTTCTTCTATTTAATTTGAAATTTATAAATCACTCCCATTGTTTTAGCAGTAGTTCTCAATTTGTCATGTATATTTAACTTCTTTATATATAAAGTTTGCCAATATTTTAAAAATTGTTTACATTTATGTGGGAGGGGCTGCATGGTGCCATAACAAGCATGTGGCAGTCAGATGACAACTTGAGGAGTCTCGACCACGTGGGTTGCAAGGATTGAACTCAGGCCATTAGGCTTGGCAACAAATGCTTCTTGCCAATATTTTAACCTTTTTCAAATTTTTTCAATTTATTTTTCAAATTTTTTTTTTTTAGGTCTTTTTGGCCAGGATCTCCCTACAGCCCCAGCTGTTCTGGAACTCACTATGTAGACCAGGCTGGCCTTGAACTCACAGAGATCCACTTGCCTCTGCTGAGATTAAAGGCGTGCACCGCCACACCTGGCTCTTTTTCAAATTTTTTTAAAAAAATTTTTTATGTGTATGAGTGTATTGCCTGCATATAAGTGCACCCGTGTCGTACAATGCCCGCAGAGGTCAGAAAAAGGCATCAGACCCCCTGGAACTGGAGTTATGGATGGTTGTTAGCCACCATGTAAGTACTGGGAATCGAACCTGGGTCCTCTGCAAGAGCAGTCAGTATTCTTAACCGCTGAGCCATCTCTCCAGCCCATATTTTTTTTTTTCATATAATGCTGGGGATGTGACATAGGGCTCTGAGCTTTTTAGGTGAGTTGCTCTACCACTGAGTTACATTACCAATCTCTATTTTCTGGAAAAATCTCTGACCCAGGGGCTTTGCCTTCTTAAGACATAAATTAGCCTGAACAACACAGCAGTGTTTGTAGAAGGCATCAGGAAGACAGATCAGGAGGCCACTGGCACCTACTTCATATGGACAAAGAAGACCAGGGGTCAAGGGCAGAGAGACGGGGTCTCTGACAGAGAGCACAGCAGGATACACAAGTCCACAAGCACCTCAGCTTTCAACTAGTGCCCCCCAGTAAACCAGGCTCTGGGGAAGCTGAAAACAGGATGTGGGCCAAGGTCAGACTAGGGAGAGGGTGGACAGGATACCACGACCTCACCACAGAATGTCTGGCAAATAATTCTTTAAGACAAATTCTTTGGAGTTGGATTATAAGACAAATCACATGGGCATTCCAAGCCCCAAATTTAAACAATCTCTTAGTATAAAATAGCAAATAATAGCCAGTAATAGTGGCATGGGCTTATAAGCCCAACAATACTCAGGAAGCAGAGGCAGCAAGACTACAGCAAGTTCAAGGTCAACCTGGTTTACACAAGTTCCAGGCCAGTCAAGACTACATAGTGAGACTTGGTCTCAAATAAACAAACAAATCTGCCAATTCAGCTGACTGCAACCCCACTCTGTGTGCAGGAATCAGAGCATGTCCTATAGAGAGGTGAAAGGAGGGCAAAAGACCTCCTACAAGAGGCGGAACCCAATGGAGAAATAACTGGAATGCACAGCCAAGCCTGACCAAGGGGCAAGAGCAGCTGCAGGGGTACCCCCAGTCTTGGGGCAGACTGTGAGAGCATAGAGGGCTAACATGGCACTTATTCATGGCTGAGAACTCCAATAGATAGTTTCTATCTCATTGATAAAAAAGTCCCAGGCTTTCCCCACCTCCTGCCCTAGGCTAATAAGAGAGCCAGTTTTACTCCTCTTAGCTTAAGAAGGCTTGCCCAGGACAGAGCTACCTGGGGCATCTCTATACTTTCTCAATAACATCATAAACAAAAGAATGTAATGCAGTGCTGTCTGACAAGGAAATATGGTACTCACTCTGTGGAGTTGCTGTCGACACCACAGCCATGCCATGAGGGGCCATCCCAGAGGTCCCAGGAGGTGGCTGCCCAGAGAGGGGCATTGGCTGCCCCATGGCGCCAAGGCCACCCATTCCACCCAGGGACTGTCCTGGGCCCCGAGGAGGCATGCCAATCCCGGCTGCTCCTGGGGTAGGTCCACCAGTAAGGCTCTGCAGTGCATTCATGGGGTCTGTGGGAACACAAGGGCACAGTGTCTGAGGAAAACTGGATTGGCTTACAGGTAAGAGACTTATGGAACACAGACGCACCCCCACCCACCCCCACCCCCACCCCATAAGCATGATCCACTCAAAGTCCCAAGCAGTTAAGAGTCAGAGGCTTGAAACTTCCAAATGCCTAGGGCCAGGACTCTGAATACTACCAGAACATGAGCCCTAGGGTCACAGAGCACACTCCATGCATCAGCCTGGCCCATGCCAGTGTCCTAATCTTGGATTATATTCTATCCCTGTGATGTGCACAGCTGCACTGAAGATAGGCTGAGTCCTCTAGGGCATCTAACAACCAGGCCCTTATTCTCTGTCCAGAACTCTTACAGGGTGAGCCCACAGCAGACTTCCAGAGACACTGAAGTATGAGAGGGCCCTTCTTCCCAGCAGGTAGGAACATAGTGGTCAGATCAGAGAAGCAAGACCAGGTAGACACTCCCCAGAGAAAGCACAAGTAGGCTGACACACCAATGCTCCATTTTTGTAGCTAAGTCTCTACAGAACACTACCCCAGCACAGTTCTGTGGCCAGAAGCACCATCCCAGAGCAGGTAAGGAGTACAAGAGAGCTCCACAGAGTGCTGAGGGGCAAAGTCATGCCCACTAAGCCCCAGGACAACAGTGCAGTTGAGGAAGCAATGCTACAGCCAAGGACAAGGAGCCAGATGCCATTATCCCAATGAATGTGGACTCATAAAAGACAGTTACCTACAGACAGGTGTGGTCATCTGGCCACAGAACTGGGTGATGCCCAATGATTCCATTGCTTTAATACCATAGAGGCCAGGCATTCTCCAAGCCATATTCACTTAACCAGCCCTGGACTGAGGGTGGTGGCTATATAGGTATATATAGGCGGAGGCACTTAGGGCTCCAGTGCCTAGAGTAGGCCACACAACTGCACAGCCTGCAATGAGAGCTCATACCCCTTTTTTGGTGGTTCTGGAGATGAAACTCGGAGCCTCACACATGCTAGGCAAGCACTTTCTCACAGAACCTCACACCTTTTGTGACAGGCTAAGGATCAGCTGGCCAAAGTAGATCTGCTCAGAAGGCAGAGACCAATTCAGCTGACACAATTCCCTTTATCTGATAAACCTTGAAACTAAAAAGATTTCTGAACTCATAATTTTATAATTAAGGAAGTGAATTTCCACAGCTATTCTTCATGACATACTGCTATGGATTATTTTATTCGTTAAGCCACTTGGTTCTTTTAGATAATGTTAAAGATTTCTGAGTTTTTATACTCTTTTTGCCCATTAAAATAGGATGGAGAGGCACTGAGGACTTCAGTATGCAGGAAAGCACATGGTGAAGAGGCTGGGAGCTGCATCCTCGTGAATCTTTCAAACAATCCCTCCAATAACAGCTGGCCCAGGCATACCAGGAATGCACCATCCCATTCCCGCTACCCAAACTGGAGGTTGGGAAAAACTATTTCAAAAGGAAAACTTACCACTGACAGAAGCTTGAGATTTCTTGTTATCTGTATAAAAACACAAACACAAACCCTCAAAGTAAACAGTTTTATATAAACACATATTTCCCAGGATAGTCAGTTCTGTAGGCATCTGACCAGAGGTCATTTGCTAAAACTGAACTGACCCTGCATAGAAAAAAGGCCCCTAGAGCTTCAATCCCAAAGAGCCACTGGTACTCTGGCAACTAGGGAGGAGGTTTCCACTCCCACTGTTCACACAAAGGAAGTCTGGAGGGAGAGGGTATGGAACCACTTGGGGATCCACCTGGACTTAGTGAACTGCCCCCAAGGCTGAAGCACCCTGAACTAGGAGAGGCTAGGCCTTTCCCTTCTTCTAGGTCCAAAGTCTTGGCTCAGATCCTGAACCATAAACAAGTAATAGGAATCCATGATGAGGCTAAAAGAACAGTACTCCAAACTCAACAGCAATTCCATGTTCAGTCCATTCTAGTGTAACATATCTCCATTTTCCAGGTGAGGAAGCCAAGGCTACCCAAGGTTGCTTAAGGTTGGCTGGAAACCTTGTCTGCTGGACACAGCCTCTATGGGAAAAGTGCCCTAACTGTTGGTAGCCCAGAAGCTTCCTGCTTGGGCTGTATGCATCCTAGGCCACTATCCTAACAAATAAGGCATGGAGGGGAGTACATGACAGAATATCCAGCTGCTTGCTCCCCAGACTCTTAGGTCCTTCTTTTCTCCTACACTTCCCAATACTTTAAAGAAAGTAAGATCTGTGAAGTCTACCTTGCGGGTCTTTCTGGTAAAAGTGTCTCAATGTCCACCCATTCCCTCAGTGACTGACCCTGAAGCTGCAACTGCCACTACAACCCATGTTCTGACTGCCCTCCAGACTATGGTGGAATGGGGACAGGCCCCTGTCAAGAAGAGTCTGTCTAGTGCTTAAACAATTTGGAGGACAGGAAGGCTGCTGGATGGAACTCAAGAGTGTTCACAAGCTCTGGTTCCCTTCATAGGCTATGGCCATCCAAGAATACTTGGTATCCATACAAAGAACACACAAATGAATCAAGAATCCTGTCCCAGGAGGTTATGACAACTCACTTCTGAGGAGGGAGGAACAATAGCACCACAGCAGTATTCTCTGCATCAGTGGGGGCAGGGGATGGGGTGAGGGGAACCTTAGCACAGCAGAAAGGAATGGGAAGCTGACCTCAGACACTCTTAGTTTCATAGAAACACACATTTAGTTCAGCCTCCTGAGGTTAATAAAATAAACTTTTAAGGAATAAAGTGCCTGTTCCAAGGTAAACTGCTTATTTAAGAACTGCCCAGAGGTAAAAGCAATAGTCCTATAAAAAGGAAAGCAAATGGACAAGCATGAACAACAGCAACATTTCCATGTCAGAATCCACATTTTTAAGGCTGAGGCCTAAGAGGGTGGGGAATCTAGAATCGAGTGTGTGCAGTGAGCAACTTCCTCGTAGTAGGTGAGGGGACACAGATGGTCTAGCCTAGGTGCTGCAGCCCACCAGAAAGCCCCCAGACAGCCACAAAATTGGCCCCTCACAATAATCAAAACCACCCAAAAATGTGAACTCTTACTTACGAATATCTCGAAAATGGATAATGAGCCGGGCCACAAGGGAAAGGTATTCATCCTACAAGTAAGAACAGGAAGCGCTTAAATTCCAAATGGAGAAGCAAAGGCATGTGACTCCCCTTTCCCACCCTCTCATGCAGCCCAGCCATGCAGGTGAGGTTCTTCCTGCAAGCCTTGACCTCTGGGACTGCCTCAGATGGCCATAGTCACTTAGCTCACTGTACCTCCTCTGGATCCATGTCTCAGAGGCACAAAGTAAGAAGAGTACAGAGCCTCCAAAAGCAGTTCCTCTACCTTGATGGAAAGAGCATGCAGGAGAGAAAGCCCATCACAAGTCCCCTCTTGTTACAGAGAGGAAGTCAGTGTATATGTGGGGAGGTGAGGGGGGGTGTGTGTCCCCCAAGGGCACAAAGCTTATCAGACGCAGCTCCAAAGGCCTTTGCACAATTGGCATGAAAGTACTTTCACTTTTTGTGCCAATGCTATGCTGGCCTTTCCCCTGCTGATGAGGCATGTATGTGTATACAAATCTGTATGGGTGCCCCTGTCTATGCCTGCTGGGAACCCAAGCTTCTCTGTTAACCGCACAGGGAAGGGAAAGAGCAAGGCGTGTTTCAGAGGTGGCAAGGGAAGGCCACTGCCTGCACAGGCCACCTGTTTCTGTTGCTCCCTTTTTAAAACTCCCTCCTGGGGTTTGTCTTGCACTAATTGTCTTCTATGTACCTAAGGATACCCCAGGGAAATTTTCCAGGGAAATCACTACCATAAATCTGTTCTGTAACCAATGAAGAGATGTCTGAATTAAAACCTCATTTCAGAGAAGCATCTTTTCCTCCACGGTTATGTCCATTTTGCCAGCATGGCAGCTCAGAAGAGCAAAGTCCCCAATATCTGCCATTTGCCTGGCTGTTCTCCCAAGTCACCTTGGTACTGAGAGTCCACTACACGACAGAAAAGGTGGCAGAGGAGAGGGACAAAAAATGAACATGTGCCAAGGCATGATGGTGTGTACCTTTAATCTCAGCACTGGAGAGGCAGGTAGATCTCTGTCAGTTTGAAGCCAGCCTGATCTATGTAACAAGTTCCAGGCCGGCCAGGGCTAAAATAGTGAGAACTTGCCTTTAAAAAAAAAATGAGGGCTGGAAAGATGGCTTAGCAGTTAAGAACACTTGCTGTTCTGCACCTACATCTAGGAGGTTCACAACTACCTGTAACTTGAGCTCCAGGGGATCTGACACCCTCTTCTGGCCTGAGGGTTCCTGCACTCACGTGGTATACTTACATACACTCAGCCCCCCATATATACATAAAATATACAATAAATCTTTAAAAACAACAACAATAACAAAAAAGAACATGAACTGAATGTGTGTAGAAACCTTAGGACACTGTCTACACCTGTGTTATCCTTCACGGATCTCCATACTCCACCTACCACTGTTTCCCAGTTAGGGGAGTCAGCATAGGGTAGATAAAGGGGAAAAGTCTAGGGAATAGGGACAGAAAGAGGACAAGGTGGCATTGACAGAGGAAAGGCATGTTGAGGAAGCTATGTCAACACAGCCCATTTTCAATTCCCCATCAATTTCTGATTGGAAAAACAGTATAGGAAGGGGACCCCCACAATCAGAGGTCTAGCGAGGCCTGGCAACCTGAAGTATGGTGATGTGACAAATAGGGTATAAGGGATGTATTGGGCCAAAGAAACCTCAGGACTGGAAAAGAGGCAACCAAGGTCCAGTGGAAGAGAACCCTGAACCCAGGCAGGTCCGTATGTGACTGTGTTAAAGCCCTGGATTATCTTGTTCTGTGACCTTTAATATGGTTGGCAAGTTTTTTCTACTACCATGAAAGATATGACAGGAAGAACAGAGGTTCTAGGCGGAATGATCGGAATTTACTTAGACCCAAAACACATTAGACCAAGCACAGGTACCCCAAATCCTTTCCACACAGAAGCAGGGTCAAGAGATTCAGTGCCTGGAGCTGGGCGGGCAGACACACCATGCTGTGATGATCAATGCTACTCCTGGCCTAAACAGGGACATCAAGAAGGTCCAGCCCAGCTCTGTAGACCAAGAGGGAGGGATAGGGAACAGAAATTAATTAGTTACCCAAGGACCAAGGGTTTCTCACAGGGGAAATATATTCCCTACATTCTCCCAAGGGCCAAGTGATAATATGTGGGAGCTGAGTCTGTGAGGGAGCTGCCAACAACCCCTTCCAATGAGAGACCCCAGTTCCTGACACTGTGCCTCTGACCCCAAGGCTGCACTCCCTGGTTCTCACCTTCAATCTATAGGCACTTCTCAGTTTCTATTCTACAACAGAGGTTATGGCTCTCCTTTCTGCTCCAAAGCCCCCTCCCCAAAGTTCCAGGATAACTAAGAAAACAAGTTGAGGAGCAGACAACCATCTTTATCTCTACTCCTCTGTCCTACCATTAACATTTTATATGTCCAGGCTTGTACCCAAGGCTAGATATTATGAGGCTGTAATGTGTAATACCTTCAATACTCCCAACCACCAGGCGTGGTGGTGCATGCCTGTAGTCCCAGCACTTGGGAGGTAGAGACAGGCGGATCTCTGTGAGTTCGAGGCCAGCCTGATCTACATAGTAAGTTCCAGGCCAGCTGGGATTACAGGGAAACCGTCTCAAAAAAAAAAAAAAGAATGCTCCCAACCACCTAACAATACAAAGACTACTGTCTTGTTTACAGAGAAAAAAATGGCACAGGAGGGGCTGGACAGCACTTGGTTCTATGCCCAGCACCCTACAGACTTTCCCCACATACATTTGTCTTGCAGAAAGGCTAAAAGAACAAAGGCTCTGACATGAAGTGACCTCCAACAAGGTAGAAAGCAGAAGGCAATCCCTAATATCACCCACCACACTGCACCACAGGCCCTTTCTGTAGATCTGAGGAAGCTGAGCACAGTCAGTTACACCTGCCAGAAGAAACACTAGGGGGATAAGCCAAATCACAGGAAGATGTCAAGTATTAGGAACTGGGCTGGAAATGAGCCTTTTTCCAAACCTTACTGGTTTGCACTTAGAAAGCATGTAAACCTTTCACAAGTGAGAAGATAAAAGAAATCATAAAGAAAAACTCGAAACTATCGTTGGTAGAATAGTATAGGAAAAATGTCTTTTACGTGGCCCTTTACCTTAAAAAAAAAACAACAAAACAAAAAAACACTCAAAACTGTATCAGTTCTCAGATCAAGGAACACTGGCAAAAACAATCGTTTTTTAAAAAAATGTGTATGGGTGTTATGCCTGCATATATGCAAGTACACCCATGTCCTGCACTCACCGTGGAGGACAGAAGGTAGTGTCGCATTCCCTGGACTTGAACTTACAGACAATTGTTAGCTGCCAGCACAAAAGAATTTTAAGCTTAGTCCACACTTTGTCATTAGTGGTAATAAAGCTATTTACTCTCAAACTATCTGAGTAAAGCAAGCAACTGTGCCAATGAGATTAAAAGCTAAGGTATTCATCGTATCAGGAAACACACATGCTCAAGATGAAATATTTTTAAAGTCTGTAAGGTTAATTTGAAGTGGAAACATTAGGGGAAAACCATGGAGCTCTATTCATTGTTTCAAAAGCATGTTGTTTCTTAGCTCTGTTCACAAGGCCCAAAGACGTGGATCAGGGCAGGATAGTGAGGTTCAAGACCAGTCTGTGCCACACAGTGAGACCCTATTTCAAACAAGGAAAACAGAAACAAAACAAAAACTAGCCAACTATGGCTGCTCTCTCTGATCCAGGAGGCAGTCCAGCAGTTTGCCTGCAATAAACTGCTGTCCCCCATGGAATGGTCTTGGTCGGTGATCTTTGCTGCCTGCTTCCATACATGTGGTACTGAAAACCTGGGAGGAATGCCTGGGTCTCCTATGACCCAAATCCTCCTTTTATTAAGCCAACTGCTGACTGAACACTCCTGTGATACAGACCATTTGTCTCTGGCAGCTACCACCACTCACTACATCAGGCCCAAGATTACAAGTCCATCTTCTTGAACTCTTTCCTCTGTCCTGCTTACCCTCTGACAGACTTTGGGACAGAATCAATAAGATGACTCAACAGTCAGTGAACCAAATGCTCTTAACTGAATCCCTTCGGGTCTCCTACTACTGCCTGCCCTCCTGACCCCACACTTCAGACCAATGTTTCAGTCTTTTGAGACCACCCCTCTTTGTTGACATCCCTGTCCAGCGGGACGTAGTTAAAGAAAGACCACTGTCATCCCTTATATCAACAAAAGACTGGAATGTTTAGTTGCTGACAGAATCCTAAAATAGTGGCACAGCTCCCAATATTCTAAAATGTCAGGTCCAAGCTTAGCCCAGGAAAGTCCCTCTGCTTATTGGGAGACCACCCAATCCTGAGCTAAACTGCTCAGCCTATGTCATGGAAATTTACCCCAACACCTAACTGCCTATAAAAGATGTCTGACTTCCCCTGCTGGCTGTTGCTCTCTCTGATCCTGGGAGGCAGTCCCGTGGTTTGTCCTCAATAAACTGCTGCCCCTCACACCCCCAAAAAACTAGCCAACTATAAACATGCATGCGTTATCATTCAAGAAAAACAACGGACAACCATGAGGATAGAGTCATGGGACCTAGAGACCAAAGCCTCCAAGTCTGTGGTAATTTATTACAGCCACAGGAAACCAATAATACACTATTCTTTTGCCTATTATGGACACTTTATAAAAATGCATTCATAAAAAATGTGGTTGTGACTACTTTGTTTCACTTGTAGAATGTTTATCACATACTTTTAAGACTCACTTTTTTTTTTTTGTCTTTTTGAGACAGGTCTCCCTATAGCCCCAGCTGGCCTGGAACTCACTATGTAGACCAGGCTGTCCTTGAACTCACAGAAATCCACCTGCCTCTGCCTCCCAAGTGCTGGGATTAAAGGAATGCGCCACCACACCCGGCCCAAGGCTCACTTTTGTGGTAGCATATATTAATACATTGTATGACTACATAATATTGCAGGATATAGACACATTCTGTTTATCTACCTATCAGTTGATAGGC